AGCCAGCCCCAGCCCCTCACTCTCCCCTCTCCTTCCCGCCAGCCCCCCACAGCCAACCCCATCACTCCCTGCTCTCCTTCCCGCCAGTCCCCCTCATCTCCTCCCTCCCCGGCCCCCTCATTCTCTCCCCCCCGCCACTCCGCCGCGGCAGGATACGATGGGCTGCACCATCACCTTCTGCACCTTCTGGCCCTGCCCGCGATACGCCATGGCCGCGAGCGAGCGAGCCTCGGCCAACAGACGGGGAGAGAGACCGGAAAGAAACCGTTACCACCAGCAGCCCGCACGCGCGCGCCGCAGCAGCTCAGACTTCCGGTGCAGACCGGAAGCCGCCGGGGCCTGCCTGTGGAACGCTGGGAACAATTCCCACCCGGCCACTCTGGCACACTGGAGGACTCTCCATCCCGCCTCGACTGCTCCCGCCTCTCATAGTGCCTACGTCCAGCGGCGGTGCGCGGCCCCCCGAGCCAGCTTCAAGGCCCGTGCTGACCTCTGGCTGGGGGCACCAGCCCCCCTGCAGGCCAGGCCCCGCAGCGCATGCTAGCCCACTAGCAACCCAGCGCAGGTGCAGACCAGGCCCCCCAGCCTGGGAATTCAGCCCCTACAGAGAGCACAGGCCCAGAGCCTGCAGGGTGCATGCAACACAGGCATGGGGCAAGGCCAGGCGGGCTGCACTGAGTGACCCTGACATCCCCCTTATTTAGGCAGGAAAGTCCAAATGCTGAAGGTTGGCTGCCATTTGCAGAGACAACTAGGACAGGAGCCTCACCCGCACCAGGATCCTTTGAGGAGTAATTTTCAACAATAAAAAGAGAGGTTTCAGAGTAGCAGCCGTGTTAGTCTGTATCCGCAAAAAGAAGAACAGGAGTACTATAGTCTCTAAGGTGCCACAAGAACTCCTGTTCTTTTTAATAAAAAGAGAGAGAGCGCAAGCTTTTGGCCCAAAAGACAACACTCAAGGCCACTTGCATAGTTCATAGCCAATCTCAGCGAGACACCACCCTTAAATTCCACTCACTTGACCTTGCATCCTCACTTGCAGTGGATCATGGATGCTCAGATCAAGATGAACCTTTGCATGGTAGGTGCAGTATGGTTGCCTAGCTGTCCTTTTGTTCCTCACACCTAAGTAGATCTGTCCCCACCTATAGGCGGCTATACATGTGTGTTATCACTGCAGTTTGTCAGGTGTACATTAGAGTAATACAACCGCTCTCACTTGCAGAAGATACTACGATGAAGTTGAGGAATGCAAATACATTAAGACTTTTCAAGTGGCTTCACCCCCTCCATTTGGAGGCTTAAGTGTATGCCCAGCTCCGGCACCAACCTGCTCTGTTACTTTGGGCAAGTCACTTCACTTTCTGTGTCTCTCAGTTTTGTAAAGTGCTTTGAGACTAAAGGAATTAAGTATTGTGAATTCCACACAGTCACACTGCCTCTTCCATTGTTTGCAAGTTGACCCTGACTCTCCTCTCTGCATACCCTACCACTGGAACATACCATTTCCTCTACTGCTAACATTTTAAAGAAATGATTGGTTGTAGAAACCAAAAGACCCTTTTGTTTGCACCTACTGCCCACCTCTGCATCTTACCCAAATACACGGAGAACATCTGAAATAAGACTTCCTACATCAGCTTTATTTAAAAACACGAGTAATGTTTTTCATGAACAGCCCAACTCATGGTGAACATGTATGGTTCAGATTACATGTAAGACAATGCCTTAAATACAAACTAAATAGAAAATGAAAGAATAAAATATTTACAGAAGCAATGGCATACATAAAATTCTGCCTTCATAGACAGGACTTCTCATCCAGAGAAGGAAGTGAACAAAGCTGACAATGGAACGGAATATTCTGCTTAAACACAGGGAGATAACAAGCAGCAGGGAAAAGATTTTTAGATCACAATCTCTCATACATATGTCTCTCTCTGAAAGTTGCTTCCATTTGTGCACAAGCAACCAAAAGTCTCATTGTGAAAAGTCCTTCAGCAGGATGGAGGGTTGTTGCTTTTCGGCTTCTTTGGGATGAAGCTTTCTGCATGGTGTCCCTCCTAGAACTATAACAGCAGTTTCTTCAGGAGTGGGCTTTTTAATTTAAAAACTGGTTTTGGTTCAAATCTTCCCTATAAGAACTAAGACATCACAGTGGATTATCAAATCATGTACGTGTTTTCTTTCAAAGACAAAATATTTACAATACAATTGAACTTTTTTTTTTAAGCCTGCCAGCAGCAAAAGCCTTGCTACACCTATATCTTCACAGCTCAAAGTCGGAAGGGACTAGCTTGTTGAAGGTTTAAATAAAAAAAATCTTATGGTCAAAATGAACATAGGTGATGGGATACACAATACACCCCAATCTCAACCATTCTCTCCATGTACACTGTTCAGACAAATGGACTGTCAAGCACAGAAGACTAGTTTTCCTAACATCCCAACCCCAGGTGTGTACTTCCTAAATGATTAGTTCAGGCCGGAGGGGGGGGGGGGGGAAGAGGGGGGAGTTATAGAGAAATGAAAGGTGAGAAGAGAGAAAGGTATCCACAGGACAGGGGAGGGAACAGAGTTTGCTCTGACACGTCTAAGACTTGCCTGACTTGACACATGCTTCCTATTGGCTGAATTCCAGCATAGTGCTACATCAAATCAGACAAGCCTATACAGCGAATTGGGGTTCAAAGACAGCTGAAAGTGTTTTCCCCATCAGTGCCAGCAGCTACCGCTTCTCAGTAGAAGAAAAGTCAGCAGAAGAGGGAAGAAATTCTTGGAAATGAGAGGCACTTTTAAGACCCATTTTCAATTTACTGATGTGCAGCAGACCAAGAGGGGTTACACCAGTTGCCCCAGGACCTTACTCAGTCAACAAAAAGTACCAACCCCCCAAGATTTAGTACAGTATGATTCAAAGGGAGGAAGGCAGTCTTCGTATAGCTGCTGCTTTCCATACTGATATTGTGTTGTCCCTGATAATTAAAAGGAAGTAAGGCTGGATAGACTAACCTGATCCCGCACCTTTGGCAGTATGTTTGGCCCACATTACTGTAGTAATTATCCTTCTCTCCCCACTTTTTCATTATTTTTTGCTAGAATGTTAAAACAAGAAGGTAAGGACAAATACAACTTAAGAGTTGCCAAAAGTTTTGAAACACACTGAGTTTTGCACACCTTGCTGAGAAAAACTTTTTTTTTTTTTTTTTAAAGCCTTCACAGCCTTAAATCAGTGGAACAAGTTTACACCCCCAGGCTTTATAGATGGGCTCCAGGATCTTTCTGGCCTGAAACTGTGAAGTGCTTTGTCCTCACATATTTAAAATAGCCGCCTGTGGTAACAGGATGGGTACACAGGCTCTTAACTCTGACCTGCAGGGAAATTAACGACAATTGAGTGCAGATATTGCCAATTTTTATCAGTTCAAGTGTACTTGAAGACTTGTGGCAAAGCCTCGTATAGAAGAAAAAGGTTTATCTTGGGTATCCAACAAAATAGAGTTTAAAATGTTTTTTGTTTTAAAAGATAAGTATAAGTCTGGTTCAGCTGTCAATCATTTCAGATAGTTCAAGCAGGAGGTCATCCTCATCTTTCCCTGGGTCCAGATCAATCTCTGCTTCCAGTTTGCCTCCAGAGATTTCCCAAATCAGTTTCTCAAAGTCATCTTCTACGGATAAGGGTGCTTTCCCAGCTGTGGTGGAGCTCAGCCTGCGGGTCTTGACTGCTGCCTGTGAAGAGGTTGGGCTTGACATCTCTGATTGAGCCACAGAGGCTGCTTGGCTTCCTATATGCAACTCAGGGCTTGGGAGAAGAGAGAGAGAGAGCAATTCCTTAATTGAAAATATCTATTTTGCCAACCACCCTCTCTTACTGCAGTGTTCCCCCCCCCGCACCTCCAATCCTTTGGAATTGCTGTGTAATTAAGCAGTGGAGATCTCGGAGTCCAATGTAATATTACAGGTACATTCTCAGTTTGGGGACCTAGACACAACCCTGAGAATTAAACCAATCTTTTTCCTAGATCCCCAAATGCTCTGCCTCCAAAGACAATACACTTACACTAATTTACTAAACTGATTATAAAAATGTGAACGGATAAAACTTCGTGAACTGTTGGTTAAAAAAGATATCAACTATTTACTCTTTCCATCACACGTTTGGATGAATTTGGTGCTCTTGACAGTAAGAAGCTGACAGCAGTGGATTTTAGTCAGCTCTGATTCAGCCAGGTGCTGCATAAACTTGTCTCACCCAGCTCTGCGTTATTTTCTTCACCTAATATCCCTCTTCTCTTACAGAGCCTTCTGCTGAGACATGCATTTGGTCACAGAGAATGCCAGCTATTAGTTAGCATTTGAGGAGGAGCCAGCAGGAAAATCTTCCCCCATCTTCATCCCACTCCAGCGCCACCCTCGCCTCTTTCAGGACCTCACAGGAATCCAGAAAGATGCTACTGCAAGTGATGCCAATTCACCAACATGAACAAAATCAACTCAAATGTTTTAAAAGATAATCCAAAGGAGAGTCTGCTAAATTGTTAGAAAATTAAAGCAGGGTATGTTGCAGGGCTTAACAGGTATATTATAACATTGTTGACCTCAAACTCATCTTCCCAAATGTCAGACAGAGACTGTACTGAAGTTTCAAACCGAAACCCCAGTGACAAAAACCTTTTCGAACAGGAACAGAAGCAAGTTGCAGACATTACCTGTCTCTGGATTTTGCTCTCTCCGGTACAGTGGCTGGACTATCCTCTGGCACGGCTAGAATAGTAGTCTGGGAAAAAGCAAGGTGAAAGTTAAGGTACAAAAGTAAAATATTTCTCGGCAGATTTCTTTTCCTCCAGCATAATGGCTGCCCCATCCTTGCACAGCCATATCATCCCTGAGCCCCAAGCCAAAACAATTCTGGGCCTTCCCAGACAAAGTGAGCATAAAACTCGATGCCTATCAAGGGCCTGAAGTCTTCAGCAGTAGTTGACTAGCCACTCTGGAATGCACATAAGTGGTATGTACTTTACTCCACTGAGAAGACATTTAACTAAGAACATTATAAAAGTGCTGTTACTCATTTAATAAAAGATGGAGGAAGATGCATCAAAATCATACCATGGTATGGTAAGGGACTCAGATCTGGACAGAACTGCATAACAGAGATAAGACATCCCTATATCTATCTTCGGTCTTCTCTTAGGGGCAGGGTGAAACACTTCTGTTCAGGTTTCACCATAGGCTGTCCAGCTTGTAAGCCAGTTTCCTTACCACAGCTGCTTTTTTAGCTGGGAGCTCCTTCAAGTCACTGCTAGTGGTGCTTAGTGGTTTCACAGCTGCTATGGCAGAAGGATGACTTTCAGCCACCTTACGTTTCAGGGCCTGCTTTGCAGGGGAGATGGTTTTCACGCCTGATGGCTTCACATTCACCTTGGGTTTGCCTGGAAAATAAAAGGAAAGGAACAGAAGCTGATTGGTTCCTAGGATTGATACAGTTTCCTTGCTCCTCTGTAAAGCCAGCAATGAGTTTAAGGCACAGCACCTTGTAACCCCCAATTAACCCTTTGGCAGTTCAAATACATGTATTCAAAAAAGAACTAGATAAGTTGATTGAGGATAGGTCCATCAATGGCTATTAGCCAGGATGGGCAGGAATGGTGGCCCTAGTCTCTGTTTGCCAGAGACTGTTCATTCCCTCTGGGGCACCTGGCATTGGCCACTATCAGAAGACAGGATACTGGGCTAGATGGACCTTTGGTCTGACCCAGTATGGCTGTTCTGTTCTTATGTAGTCAGCAATCTATAAAAATGCTAATAGACTTACAGTGTCTCATCTTATCAGCTCTAACACATTTCAGAGAAATGACTTCACCTCCATTAACACAGCCATCTCTGGGGTGGAATGTAGGAGCTGTACAGCAAAACAACTCAACGGTCAGGGATGAATTCATAAGCCAATCAGAAATAAAAGGGAGAATATAGAGAAAATCTGGACAGCACCAAGATCCTAAGTAACACCACCACTTTTCTACGGTAACTTTACTGAAATTTCAGTGTTCACAAATGAAAGCCATTTTTTAGTTAGATTTTTTTTTAAAAGTTTGGGAATTTTAGGGCTCTCGGAAAGGAAAGGGTTAACACAGACGAGAGCTGGGCAGAAACAGAACAGGCAAATTCTGTGTAGGCTCTCTCTCCCACCCACATCAAGGATCTGCACAACTCGTTACACTACTGTGCCAATGCATCAAATCCAGACCGGCAGTATCTCCTTTTACTACTCCATTCTTCTTCTGAATCAAGGTCTGGCCATTTTGCCAACTGAACAAAATATGCGTCAGACTGTGCTGCACTTGTGATGATGAGAAAAGTCCAATTATGACTACACTGCAGAATGAGCACTGGTCATCTTTCCCTAAAAATATTGAGCAAAATAACTGAGTGATTTGGGGAACAGATTACGTGATCCAGCCCCTAAAGTTAAATCCCTCTTACAGAAAATACTACACAAAATGACATTCACCTTTAGCCTTTCGCTCCAGAGACTGAGCTGCATGTTTCACCGGTAGTACTGAACCCTCTGTTCCTGGACTTTCCATCACTGCTTCCTCTGATTTCACAGTCAGTCTCTTTGTCAACCGACGAGTTGCCCCAGGCGTCACTGTGGATTCAGGACTTCTGACCACTGGGCTCTTCTCTTTAATCGTTTCTTCTCCAGGGGATGACATAGCAGATATTTCCTTCTGGAGCTTCTCCTTCTGTCGTGGCTTCAGCTGCCGCTTCTCCCTCAGTATTTCTTGAGAACTCTTCATTTGAACTGTAGAGTTGTTTGCACTCTCATCTGAAGACTAGAGAAAATAAGAGAGGAACAAGATGGGACAAATCTAGGGAGACTTCAGAACACAAACCTAATCAGCAATTCCTATGGAGAGGACTCTGAGCTCAGCACCACCCTAATATCAGTCAGCTGCATTTTGGCAACCTACATCAAGGTTCACAAACACCCTCACCTTTACTACAGAAGTGCAGCCCACAGAGGCTACAAATCCCAGCATGGGTTGTCCCTTGATCAAAGCAAAAGACTCTAGCTGCAATCTAGTCCATTCTTAGTAGGAGCCCAAGGGAAACACAAGTTGCCAATGCTGCCCTCAACAGACAGATTACCTCTGATTACGAAGTCCTGGCTTTTGCTATTGCTACCAGGGCTTCTTATTCATTGCTATGTATAAACAGCAAGAAATTCAAAGCCGTTTGGTCATTGCAATGTTGTCTTGAAATGCTACCACAGAAGACAGGACTCTGGATTAATCTCCAGAACTTAGATGCAGAAATGTACAGACACCCCCATTGCATCGGAGGTATGTTCCAAGTCATGCTGGTAAACAGAATGTGAATGTTATCCAAGGCACCTTCTGACACATAGCGTTTCCTATATTCTCTAGGGACTCACCTCTGCAGCCTTGTCTGTTGGGCCAGCTCTGAGGGGCGGAACGCTAGACTCCACCAACTTCTTTTCTTCTCTTCCAGGTGCTTTAAAACATCCCAAACCCACACTGTTAATTCTAAGAGTTCAAACACCACAGATCTCCTGAATAGCATTTCACACTACCGGTTTCCAACCTTTTGGGCAAACGAACCAGTTTAATAGACTAAGAATTTGGCTGCAGCTTGTGCTCTACAATCTTCCATTCAGTTGTACACACTGTAATCATGAGGTCTGGGTTGCGCTACACACCAGAGAACTTTTACTTGCAGCTGACCAAGCACTGTGATGACCCAAAGAGACTCCCATTTAATGTTACATCTGAAAGACACTTTCTACAGTGCACATTATGTATTGTGCGCAGGGAATGAATGAATGAGGTTGTTGTCTGTAGGACCCCTGCCTTATTTGTTGCAAAGGTTGGAAAGTGTATAGTGAACGAGGCAGAGGACTATAGGATGAAAAAGGGTAGTCTCATGGTTAGGCGGTTGAATGTTGCCCTGGTAAACTGGATTCTATGCCTGCCTCTGCCACAGAGTTCCTGTGTGATTCTGGGCACCTCACTCAAACTAGTGTTAACAGCTGGCTACTAATTGTGTGTTCCCCATTTTCTGGGTGCCCAACATGAGACGCCTGTGGTTTAAGACACAAAAACACTGAGCACTCTGACATCAATGGAATTGTGCTTTGAACATACAAAGTGATCATGCTACCCAAAAAAAAAAAAAAGCAAGTCCTAGATATTTCAAGTTGGGCACCCAAAATTAGTAGACAATTTTGGCCTTAATCTCTCTCTGTGCCTCAGTTCCCCAGCTGTAAAAAAAAAACAGAACACACACACACATTCCTACCTCACAGGGGTGTTATGAAGATACATACATTAATGTTCATGAAACAGTGACTCCAATATTATTTTGAGAGAATCACAGAAACTCCCAGGAGGGAATGAATTTTGTATTCAGTACAAAGTTTGAGGCCTGAGGCCACACATTCAATATTGCATTTTGTCCTCCACGTTAAATAACTATGCATTCACTAAATGAGGCAGGAACCCCACGGAAGACATTGCAAATGATATGCATGCCAGCCTTTAATTACATGTGTACAAAGCAGCAAGTAAGGTTGGCATGGGCAACCTTGATTCTGGCACGTCTTAACTTTTGACTTTGAAAGTCTTCTAGCTGTAATGTGGAGTGGAGTGAGTGATTTCAGAGTAAACTGAAAATACCAGCAAAGAAGGGGGAACCTGCTGTACTACAGGAATGGCCAAAGCATTTGTTACCTGTTAGCTTTGTAATGCGCAGTAATCTCCTCCCGGTGGGAGTAAGCTCAGGTTGCGGTGGCGTATTTAGGGTGTTCTCTCCACTCTGCTGCTTCCTCAGGGCTTTCTCCTGCTTGATCTCCTCCAATGTTTTAATGCGCACCTCCCCTATTGACATGGCTTTGCCTGTTGACTCCTCCAGCTGCCCTTTGCTGGCTATAGGTGGAGCTGCAGTGCCCTGCTTCTTGGGCTCACTCTCAGTCTTTGGCTTGGTAGGACTTTCCTCCGCTTTTAGCTTTTCCTCCACTTTTAGCTGATCTTCCTCCCCCAACTGCCTGTTTTTTTTCTCAGCCAGAACCTCAGAAAAAGTTTTGATTCTAATTGTTGGGGAGGGTTTCACCCTTGGAGTAGGATCTTCTGTTCTACACGTCTCTTCAGTCTTGAGTTTGGTTTGAGGTTCTCCCCGTCTCTGGTTGGCTTTCTCAAGACGGATTTCTTCTAGTGTTTTCACACGGATCTCACCTGCTGGTTTTGCAGCTCTTTCTGTTGTCACCAAAAGAGGAAAAAAACAAAACATTTAAAGAAAAGACTGTGACCTGTGCATTGAAAAAAAAAATTAAGTAGCCACTTAGGGCCCCCCAAAAAACTGTGAATGTCAGTGTGTCAAAGAGGAAGGAAACCAAATCATAACCTAAACTTGTGAATGTGGTTTAGGGAAGCATGTATGTCAAATTGTAGGGCACACTCTGATCCCTTTTCTGTAAACAATCTATTACTACTGTGATGACTGCAGCACAGAGGTAAACCTGGCCCATTCTACCACTACCTTGTACCTCCACTGGCATTTCCAATCCCATCTCTTGGTTTCCAATTTCTATTTCACTTGTCTCCAAGCAGGGTTTAAACTCTTCTGCTTATAAACAGGCAAGCAAAGCTTGCTGAGGCACAAGTGGAATCAAATTGGCTGTCAAGAGCCAGAACTCTCATGCTGGCAGATACAGGAGCTCTAATGGCTAAGGGTAGGGTAATGCGGATTGCTGAGAAATGGCAGGTCCAGGAAAAAGGGGAGCATCAGCTGTCTCCATGCTAGTTACCTGTCTCCGTGCTAGTCTGCTCAGCTGGCAATCCTAACCTCTCCTTAAGAGACTTGGGGACTTGAACTGCAAGAACAAACACAAAGCAGTTAGGTGGGCTGCTCCTTTGTCTTTCACATAGTTCCAGGAAATTCAAAGTTATATTGAGAGGCTTCATCTAACATACAAAGAACCAAAAGGGAACTACAAACTGAAGTCTGTATGTAACAAACCCAAAGATTTCTTAAGCAGCAGTACCTCTCTTTGGTGCTTTGTCAGTCTTCTCCAGAGATTCAAGCTTCTTTCCCAGCCTTTCAGCAAGGCTACGCTTCAATGGAGGGCCACTTTCATCTGTAAAGCCAAACATGGTGGAAAGAAAGTCAACAGCTAATATTTGAACGTATTAACAAGCACTTATACATAGGAGGACTTGAAGACAGAGGAGTCGCCTAGAAGCTCTGCTCTCTTTACCTTTCACGGAGTTTAATTTTTCTGTGTTTATTTTCCAGCTGCTAATATCTGCTATTTCTACTTCTAATTGTAGTTCCCAAATAGCACAATGGTTCTCAGTGGAAGAAGCATTTTGAAACCCAAGTAACACAAGATAAAGATGTCAGGAGGGTAAGAGGCTCTCTGAGAAACTCTCCCTTATGAAGCAACTGCCAAATCAAGGCAGGGACTCTCAGGGTGGAAAGTTCTAAAGCACTTCACAAACTTATAGGGGTTCTCATAATAAATTTGTGGTGGCACTTTTGCTGGTGGGCGTTCTGACAATTTTTCCTAAAATACTTGACTTTAGGAAAAACAAATAAATATGCACATATACATGTTCAAATTATTGTAATTTATTTATGTAGAGGTTTTTTTGCAGACTCAATTAAAAATAATGTACAGTTGTCTCTATTCTTTATTGGACCTAAACAGAATAGAAACACGAATAAGGTGTTTTGCACAGTCTTTTGTTGTTGTTGCTTTTTAAAAAAGACTTGCTAGCTAGTAAGTCCTCTGCTGCAAAAAGATATATTTGTATATTTGTTATCAATTTCCACAGCAGACTTACTAGCTAGCTGGGAGGCTGTGAAAAGTGATATTAACAAACATACAAATATAAATTTTCACAGCAGACTTACTCAGCCAGTAAGCCCTGGATAAGAGGTGGGTGGGGAGACAGCGGGGACCAGGGGCTATGGATGGGGGGCAGAGGAGGCAGTGGGGGCCAGGAGTGATGTAGGGGGGTGGTGAGACAAGGGCTGGCACCTGCAGGCAGGGTCCAGGGCTGGAGCCCAAAGCCCCAAGACCGGAGCCTGCCGCCCGCCACCTCAGGGCTGAAGCCCGAGCCTCACTGCCACATGGAAGGTGGGGAACTCACACCGACTGCCTGTTCCTCTGGCATTTGTGGCTCCAGAGGGGGGCAGTGCCAAACCCCTGCTGATGGCCCTGGGGGAGGGACCACTGCTTTGCACCTCACCCCCACTGCCAGTCCCTGCCCAGGAGGCTGTGATCGCAAGAAAAGCCCCTGGTGGCCGCATGCAACCACAGTGGCTGCATTTGAGAAACGCTGTCCTACAGTATCTGAAATGCAGACATTTTTAAGGAGAAGGGCACCAGAACAATATATCTGCACAAGCCTGGGGGCAAATGCAATATATTTGCTTTGGTGTTTTGGGGGCACCATATTTCTCTGGTAAAGCATACAAGAAGCCACAAGCTCAGGAATTACCAAATAGATGACTTGATGGCTTCTGACTTAAGTTAAAGAAGCAGACTATGTGAGCAGCTGGAGTACCCACACTGCTTCAGAGTATACACATTGCATAGAGTCAAAAAATTATCCCCTTCTTGAGATATCTAACTAACTATAAACCTTACCCTAAAAGCTTTCTTCTCAAGTTTGGCTGTTCCTAGGGTTTCCCTGCAAATCCTCACCTGTCCAAGTCCCTTGTTCCCCATTTTCCAAAGAGACACTCCATCCCCTTTGCAGCCTGGTTGGAGTTAAGGACCCCCTGTCAGCATGAGACACAGCAGCAATTACTCTGCAACCTTATGCAGGGCTGTAGAAACTGCCACCATGTTACAGACCAGCATTCAGGTAATGGGAGAGTCTCATACATACTCATTTTTTCCTTAAACTAAATTCCTTTAGCTTTATTTTGTTCTATAAAATATATTTTCAAGCCACATTAACAGAGCTGCCTGGAGCCTTACAGATGTAATGGCAGATGGGTGTTGCAGATTTCAACTTAAGTGCATTACCAGAGCTGTGCAGAGGAAGCTGACTCTAGCCAGCGTTATTTCTCTAGCTTATGAGTTCTTACCTATGGAGGGTTTCCGTTTTCCCAGTCTCTCCGAGAGACTCAATCGAATCAGAGGCTCCTCACCTGGAACAGTGAAACATAAGCATCTTTAATTTGGAAAAAGCAGTAGCCATATATAGATATAAGATAATCTTGCCAGTTTACACAAGTGATAGACTCCTATTGTAAATCATGAGATTTTGCCTATTAGCGAGGAAACAAAAATGCAATAATATTGCATCATAAAACATTTTGATAATTACAATTTGGAAATGTACTAGGAAGTGTACTGTAGTATACTTAGTAAATATCGTAGTATGAGATCTCGCTTCAGCTTTCTGCTATTAAGGCTCTGATGACAAGTGTGCAAGTTATATACTGTGCTGGTTAGGGAGGTTCTCCTACAGCAGAAGTTTTCACAAAGTTAACTTTTACTCTTACAAGCAAGCAAAATGCCTCTTGAGACCACAACTTCCATATTCGGGCTCTAGTCTACTAGACACTTTTGAAGATTTATTCCTTACTAGGATAAACAACTATGAAACAGCAACGAGTCTCTCTCTGAAAAAAAATGGAACTTCGCAGTGTCTTACTGCAGACTACCTCATGAACATACACTCCTCCCACCAACACCCTTCTCTGCTTGTTTAGTGCTGGCCCCCTCTCCAATGCCACAGAGCTTCTCTGTAGCTGCTTCCTCTCATTAGTCCCCCAGTTTTCTCCTGTTTGCACCCATTCATTTCTCTCTCCTTTTGTTATTTGGTTCTGCAGCTATATCCTTGTGCAAACGCTTGTCCTGATCCTGCAAACACTTGAGCACATATGTAGCTCTACTCACACCAGCAGACCTGTTGGGAGTAAAGTCAAGCACATGTTCAAGTGTTTGCAGCATTATGGTCACATTTTGTAACACTGGCTTGTTATGGTTAGCTCGAGCACTTCTCCGTAACCCTTTAAAGGTGATGTCCAGATGCTGAATGTCCTGATGCAAAAGTCAAAAATCTATATGCTTCTCTGAGTACCAGCACTGTCAGAGGTTTTCGATATATCCAGGGATTCTTCCTTCTGTAGAAAACCATGGGTTTCGAAGCTTTCAATAAAGTCTTCAAACACCTTTCGGCACCATCAGTAGCAGATGAACACCATGTTGGCCAGAGAGAGCAAGGACATCTGGACCAACACTACAATCTAAGGAGCTACTAAAATGGAACCAGGGAAGCAGGCAGCAGTTATCATTACCTTGCTTTGCAGACAAGGTTACAGTCCTGATCACCGTCCGTAGGTTTTCCTTTTCCGGACCAGGAATGGTCTGGGATTGGAGTGGAGAAACAGAAACTCCAGAGGGGCCTTCTGATCACAGCAAACAAAAATATATTAAGTTAGCGGGGGGGAGTTTATAAAAAGCCACTCCCTTACCACATGAGGAAAAATAGACAAGAGTTACTTTATTCCTGGCAAACTGATTTTAAATCACTTCAACAAAAACATGATTTATATGCAAACTGAAATCAAGGCCCAGATCATGCAATTGAGGGTGTGTAAAAACACCTTTATGAACAGATCTCCCACTCAATCAATGGCATATCTGGGTCACAAGAGAAGAGAAGAGTAAATACAAAGGACTGCACAGAATAGTCCTAGCCAATGCTTGGCCAGCTATCCAGATGCTATAGGGGGGAAAAGATACATAATGCACAACAGCATGAGAGTATATTCTTGTACCCTTCTCATTTCGACTTTACTCCCTGCTTTAGAGGGCCTGAGTAATACAAGAGAGCTTGTGCCATCTGGACTCTGCTTTTAACACCTGAACTATTTTTCAGCCATTTTTTCAAACAATACAGTCCTTCTCTGAAAGCAAATACAGATTATCCCAACCCAAAAAAAACCCTGCATGTCATCCTGTGTATTTCCCATGCAGGAAAAACTGTTGTCTCTCTTGAGACAGGAGTGCCATTGAATTTGGGAGGGAGGGAGAGTAACTCACCACCTTGTTTTTGTGATTTTTCCTTCATTTTTTTGGACTTGATTTCTTCAAGTGTTTTTATTCCAAAATTCAAACTGTTATCTGAAAATGCAGAATTGTGAATGAACCCAAAACTTAAAAGCAATGGTGCATGTCTATGAATACAGACCAAGCTTCTCAACATTTACTGCTTTTTCCAAAAAATAAATTAAAAAAAAAATCAGTATTAACTGAAAGAAGAAAAAAAATACCTAAGTTCATGGCCACAGAATTTGGCTTGCTTGGTCTCACAAGACAGCAGAAGCTGCATTTTTAAGAATTACCAACATCTGCGCTATTAGTCACTTGGCTTACTTTTAAGGGTTGTTTTTTTTTTTTTTAAAAACTAGTGTGAGGAAATCCAGGCTTTGAACTCCCCTTTGGTCTCCTGTGACAGCTAAGTCACAGAGATGCTCACCTTCCAGAGCCATTCTGTGCTCCCATTTCCACCCCTCACCTCACTGTTCTTCCACAACATGCTGCTTTCTGAACTAGCTGCGATACACTTCTTCAGGTGTCAGAAGATGCTACTGCATGACCATACAAATACCCCCTTTCCCTACAGAACTTCCTTGGTGATGTCTTTTTAAGGAGTAAGAACCTCAAAACTACACCTGCATGGTAATTTAAAGACTTAGGGTGCAATCTTCCACCATCTTACACTAGTGTAAACCAGGAATAACTCCACTGAAATCAGTGGCGATACCCAGTGTACATAAGGTGCTCTAGCCTGATGACCTCCATGCTAACTCATGGACCACTCCATATGCTCCTAAAGCTAGCGAAATTTAATGTAAGAATTGATTACCAAGATGAATTTTTTAAAAGGTAACCTGAAAAGTCACACTATCATTTCCTGTTTCATTGCCTACTGGGATTGCTCAACATAAACCAAAAGCATTTGAAAAAAGAATGAGCTAAGCATTGACTCAGCTATCCTGTTTGTGACTGCAGAAGAGTGGCTGATACCCAAAGATCACCTTACTAAGCAGCTCAGACAATAGCTAGAATTAAGGTTTTTGCCAGGCAAACCACCGGGGTGGTCATTTATTACATTTGACCAACACCTAACACAATGGGGTCTAAGAGCCAACCTGGCTGTGACCTTTAGGAGCTCTTACAATATAAACATGAAATACCTTGTTTTGAATTAGCAGTGGATTTCCGAGTAGAGATTATCCGCAATCCATTATGGGTTTCTGTAGCTGGCTGTTGAACAGGTGTTTTAGTTTCATCTCCTTCTTCAGAAAGCTGATCTGAAAGGGACAAAATGTTAGCTCACACTCAATTAGCATCAGGAATTGGACAAGACTGTGTGCACTTTGAGGCAGGGAAAACCAGGAACCTTTTTGTTCTGGTTGCATACAGCAGCTGGCACAATGGAGTCATGGATCATGCCTGGGGTTCCTAGGTGCAATGGTAGTACAAATAACTAATAACTAAATCTTGTGCTTTCAGATATCAGACCATGCCCTTACGCAGCACATTTCATCTAAGTGGTGCAAAGGGGTGAGTACTCTCTTCATTATACAAAAGTGAAGGTATTGGGAGGTTAAGGCCAAAATGGCCAGGGTTTTTGGGTGCTCAACTTGAGCACCCATCAGTTCCCTCTGACTTCAAACAGTGGCCACATGGCCTAAGTGACTTGCCCAAGTATGGCCATGCCAGAGCTAAGATCTAGGTCTTGTGACTCAGTTCCTAGCTTTTAATCGCTAGACAAGGCTACTTCCTGGATTGCCTAGAAGGGTGATGGTGCTTAAGGATGAAATTCCCTTCCTGTTTCCTTGTCCAACAAGAGTTTAGAAAAGCTTTCCTCCAATATTCCAGGTATTGGCCATTGCACAGTGCAGAATGCTAGACTAGAACCACCACAGGACTAACCATGTAAACTGAAGGTTGATTACTAGGCACATAGCAAATGCATCAGTGCTGTATGTATTTATTTAAATATCGGAGATATAATATGCTTTAGAGATAAAATCTGCTCACCATCATCATCTTCATCATCATCTGCAGCATTGATTACGACTGGAGGATGAGTGGGGCTGGGAACGTTTTCAGAGTTTTCCACTTTCATCACCCCCCGCAGCTGGGGGGAGGGGTTGGACTGGACAGACAGTTTATTCTGCTGCAGCGAGATCTGGGTCACCTTCACCTCCTCTTCGACAGACTCGGTCATACTTGGCAGCACAGCTAGAAGAACAGGAGAAACACCTGTAAATTGCCTAATTAAAACCTTGAATCCAGCGCTTCATTCATTTCCAAAACCATAATGCATATAGACTTCCAGACATGCCGAACTCTCCTTCGCTATGAGAGAAGAGACTCCGCTCAGTATGAATATGCCAGGTGAGAGAGCATAGATGTCTGGCTATTATTTTTACAGCCCCACAAAGCTATATCTCTTCGCACCTACTGAAAGGTTGAGTGAGATGAAGGTAGCCTGAAACAGAAGGAAAATGTTAATAAAAGGGAGAGAAGCAGCTAAGCATAAAAAAAAATTGTGTGAAATCCCCACAGCTATTCATTTCAGCCTTGACTACAGCTGGAGGCCCATTTCTTGTGTTCAGGGTCAACAGCCGGCTGGTACAAATCAGCCGTTGTACAGCACCAATGCTGCTATAGAAGTAACAAATTTACTTCCTGTTTTGATAATATCAAGACTTCTTGTCTCACAAAGAAAAACCGACCAAGGTGAGGGATATTTCGACTCTTGGGCCAACAAGTTTTAATATCGACCTTAAGAGCCAGTATTTGTTTGTTAATGAAGCAAATAATGTAATATTTGTTGCAGTGGTCTCAGAACTGATTTTTAAATAAATATTTTTGACATTTTAGGTCAGACTGGTGTTCCATTTGAAACCACCACAGATTTTAATTTCTATCATGAACAACTGAGCAGCCTTTGTTTTTCAACTACCAATAGCAGGAGCACTCGGAAATATCTGTGCAAGTAAAAATCCAGAGGTTGGCTCTACAAGGCTTCAGGGATCTAGGAAGAATCGCCGAAGGAGAAAAATGAAACAACTCACTTTTGCTTGGAGGTAGGAAGAGTCCGTCGACGTAGCGTCCCTTGTTGTGATGGAAAGCGCAATTTAATTTCTTACAGCCAACTGGCTGATTCTCCCAGTAGCAAGGGATCTCACTGCGTTTTTTCTTCAGACAGACAAAACAAAGACCCACATTAAAGTCATCTTGGAAAAGCTACAGAGTCATGCAGTTATCAGATGGCATCTAAGTGGCATAGAATGCTCACAGAACAATCACAATGCAATATTATGACTTTGTTTCACAGGTCAAATATGTCACACAGATAAAATATTTCAATATACCATTAGGACATTGCCTCATAACTGAAACAAAAATCCAATCTAGCGCTCTGGGCACATATACAATCTTTACAAAAACTACGACAACGACAATTTTACATCTGTCTGTCACTACACTTCCTCTTTCCTTTCTCCACTTTCCAGTCTATTATAGCCCCCGACAAAAACTATGTAGAAAACTGGAGAAGTCAGAGATGGAAAAGACACATTAATCACATCTAGTTCATCTCCCAAAGGGCCAGTGCAGAATTATTCCCCAGTGCTAGGGCCACCACAATTTTAAGTAATAAAACCAATGTGACTACTGCCACTTCCACTGAAGAGACTATTCCAGTGTCTAGTAGATATCACAGCAAGGAGTTGTTTTTCTAACAGGCTTAAATTTTCTTAAATTCATCCCTTTACTTTGATCACTGGAGGCCAGCGTTGCTTAGAGCAGGCAAAACTGATATGTAAAAGTGAACCCACCCTATGCTCTTTGCTTCCTACCGTAAATTATTGTTCCAATTCAAACCAAATTAGGAAGTGTCAAAGTAACCTGCTTGCACTGAGGAGCCTCCCATCAGATCCACTTTTATGATTCTAAATCAGTTCTCATCTTCTTGGTGTTTGCATGTTCAGCACAAGCATCTGTGACAAGACTACCACAACAGTGAACCTCAGTAACACAAGTTTAATTTTAACCAGTTCACTGAGCACCAGATAAAAAGCCCTGTCCAAAAACGTACTTGCAAAATGAACACTTACATCAATCTCCATGTGCCTAAACCTGCAGATACTCCTGAAGCAGCGCCCTTCCTGCCAAAGTGTGCAGACAGTCTCGTTTCCCAGTGCAGCTTCACAATGACGGAAGGGACAACTGTCCCCCTGTGCCAATGGGACAAAAGCAAATAAGAGGTTGCAGCCTGAAAAACCCAGGTACAAAGAGAGCGGTAAAAGTGGGACTTTCTGAACTGAAGGAAAAAGGCTCAGTGACTGAACTGATCCTAGTGTGGGGAATGGAAAGGTAGATGAATCAAGAAGAAGAAACGGAGCAATGGATGAGAAGTGCATTCTCAGGGAGAAGGCAGAAATAATTAATTCTATGGAAACATTTTGAAAGGTCCTTCCTGACATTATTTAAACCACTATCTTAACATCAGACAAACACTTTAGAGGTGGCCATGATGAAACAAGCCAGGATATATTGTGGATGGGATAGAAGAATGAGATAAATCAATAACCACTTCATAAAACACACACACACACACACACAAGATTAACATCTACATCCCTATTCCCTACAGCCAACCTCAACCATCTTACTGTTGCATTTACATTTGATAGAATTCTGTTTACTGTATCATCCTTAAGAGCTATAGTTATTAGTGTTAATTTTAAATTGAGATATATTTGCCACATTAAGAAATTCAAAAATTAGGCAGCAATCAACACGGGGTGGGTAAAGCATGATGCCTGCAGCTCTTGAAAAACTGTATGCCATTGCAAAAATGGCCACTATTATTTTCCTGCTGCCACAAAAAAGGGCATATATGTTTCTGCATCTGTTCATTGGCCTTAGTCATGTGTATAACTTCTGGATCTTATTTATTTAACAATGAAACAGCATACAGAGTTGTCACAATATGATATGGATTTTCCCCCCCCCATAGCTGGTTCATTGGGCCCAATAAGCAAGTTAGCTCTAGAGAGAAGCAGAATGGTTTAGCTGACTGAAGGAGTCAGGCGCTCTTGAGTTCCAATCCATTATTGACATTGACTCCCTCCATAGCTTAGGCAAGTTGCTTCAATTCCATGTCTTGATTTACCTATCTTTATAAGGAGTTAATGCCAACATCACAAGTTATTCGTAAGGATTAGCAACCAACTGTTTGAAAAGTGTTAATCAGTATTACTGCTTGATAAAAACAGGAGCAGGGGTAAAGATTAATGCTATCTCTACACAGATGATCTTGCATTATTATTCTACTTTGAAATTTATTCCTTTCCATAACAAATGGCTAGGTGTAACAAAACAAGACGGGTACACAGGATATGAAATCAGCTATGACACTTCAGGATAGATTATACTTTCGAATCTAACTATGAGACATATATTAAATTATTTGAGAAACTCAATTCATCTCAGTTTTTTTTTTTAAATGTGTTTTTAAAAATAACACACCTTGGTACACGTGGAATAGAAATAGAAGTAGCAATCATCTCCTTGTTTAGACATGCTGGACAGATTGTTAGAATAAGCTCAAGTTATCAGGGCTATTGCTCCACACAGACTTCTTCCTCTCTTAGTGAAAACGGGCTTCACCCTTTCTTCTTCAGACGTGATCAGTGAAATCTTCTTTAAAAAGTAACCTTGGAGAAGTTGGTTTGAGGGGAATAAAAAATAAATAAATCAGATCATCAAGTGACAAGTAACTTTCCCTCTTCCTTGCAACAATGCCATTTAATGAGTTTGAAGGGACAGTGTTAACTTGACTACCTTGAAACTGACCAGTTCCAAAAAAAATCCCAGTTCTGAAGTACTTTCAAGTCATATGAGTTTTGTCTGTGATTTAAAATAAAATAATAGTTTTTCTGTGTCCTTATTGACATTAAAAAGTTTTATTAGTATAGAACAAACTGTGCTCCATACAGAGTTACGTGCAGGATTGGGGGCCTACCTCTGAAGGAATTAATTGTGCCTGGGAAATATCTCTGGATGATTAACTATTGTTATAAGTCATATTCTTTAAAAAAAAATACAGTTTCAGTTATGAGCCCTCCCTTCCCACCCCACAGTATACCAAGGGGAAATTAGACATCTATAGATTAACATACCTGGATAACCTCGGCAAGAACGTTGGTCTTCAAAGACTTCCAATTAATTTCTCCTGTAGGCCGAACCAACACTCAATCCGTGAATTAATAATAAAGGGATAGAAAGAATTTTCTCCTCACATTGCCAAGGAAATCTCTCATCCACAATTCAGACACAGGCTGTGCTTTTAAACATCTTACAACTACTGGAGGAAGCAAGTCCATTTGAATACTCTCTGTCAGACTGGAGACAGCGAGGGTTAGTTAGCTCTTCAAAAAACAGTTCATTTAAAGATGAACTTGTGAGTCAAAGCGGCTGCAAAAATGAAGATCCATCTTCCACAGCCAGACAGTTAAATTTTTTTTTTTTAATTTAAAACTCAATAAGTTCCAATTTCTGGTCTTCAAGATTTCTTCACCTATTAAGAAAACACAAAAACCTTCCCCCATCTTTATTACCTGTATAGCAAAAACATACTTGTATGTATAAACATACATATGTATATACATATATACAAATGTGTTTATACACACACCAATATATTCAAATGTGGTAATAAAAATGATATAATTGGGCTATTTGTCACTTAAAATGCATCATAAAGTGTCTCAAAATTTGGGGGAATGGCAAAAATTGAGGGGTTATAAAAGTGTCACACAAATACACTTTCAGGCCAATGCTTTATAATATGGGCAAGTTTGGATCTGGCACAAATATACACATGTACATGCATACAGTATATCCATATTTATGTGCTCAAAGCGTTCAAAGTATGCATAGTCTGATATCCATATTGTAAAGAACAATTTGTAGCTCTGATCAGATATTTAAAGTTGCAATCAAATGCAGAAAGATAGCAGTTCTAAAATACAGCAAGCTGTAAGAAGCAGGGAAACGCTCAATTTTAAAGAGGCACAGCTGCATGAGACACAATTTGGAAATATTTTGATTTTTGGAAGCCAATTTTAATTTCTTTTACATTTTTCAAATACTATTGGTTTGTGACCATATACTGTTCCCTGGTATATATATCCACCATTATCCATCGCTGTGAGATGGCAAAGGTCTGAAAGGATTCTTGGATCCAATTCTTAGCAACCAATGACTGACACCATAAGGAGCCTAAAGGTGTTTCCAGTTACCACAGTTTAATTTCACTGTGAAATGAGACATTTCAGTTTATTTATTTTTACTGAATGCCATAAAACCTGCATTTTTGACCATTAGATCTAAACGTAAGAGATTCCAATTCCTGTGTCATTAAAAGTGCCGAGAGAGACAAGTTGGGTGAGGTAATGTCTTTTCTTGGACCAGCTTCTGTTGGTGAGAGAATTTGGTCCAATAAAAGATATTACCTCACCCACTTTGTCTCTAATAACCTGGGACTGATATGACTTCAATAACATTGCATACATTAAAAGCACTGAAACATTTCTGTGCTAATTCTCTTCCAATTCTATCTTAGAAGAAATCGAATGAAATCGTTCTTATAAATTAATAATAGACCTATTCTATTCTATTAAGATTAGACCTTTTATTCTCACGCACTAGTGAATTTTTCCAGGATTTTTTTTGGAGAGGGGGTTAGGGGGGAGAAAAGGGAGGGAGTTTCCCTAAATCTAAAATAATGAGAGGAAAAATTGGGTTCTTGTACTAGTTATCAGTTTTCAACTCTTGACAAGGGGAATTAAAAAAAGGTAAGAATCAATCTCTGTCCTTCCCTTAGTATCTAGATAATTACTCACTTTTGACTTTTGTTGCCTTTACAACTGGATTTTGTATCCCAGGTAACTTTTGTCTACCTGTATCTAACTACACTAATGTTCTCTCGGTGTGCAATTAGCATATATTAGATACAGGGAAGTTTTGCCAAATTTACTTTCACTAATATCCTCCCGAATTCAATGCAATTTCAAAGTGTGAAATGCTTCCACATAAACCAAAACGTATTTCTTGGCAAGTAACGGACAATGCCTCCTGGTCTGTCTGATAATGTGTGCTATTTTTGATTATTTATTTCAATGGATTTGCATATTATCTTCCATACTTCGGCACATACTTAGTGCTTTTCACACAGTCCAGGGTTTGAATTATCACTGAAATTATACTACCAAGCAACTCAAGCCTCTCAGTTCTGTACAAGCACTACAAATAAAAAATGTTAACACAGAAACTAGACTTTAAAGTTATTTAATTTTTTATTTTTATTTTTTTAGTTAGAATAGCAATTTAAATACTACAGAAAATCGACTGAGCTAACCCCTTAAAGCTTAAAATAAATGAATAACTCTGGCGCATTCAGCAAGCTTGCATCAGAAACTGATTAAGAATTTCAAAGCCAATCAAATCCTGAATATTACACTGGTGTTCACATTGAGATTGAGCTGTGGTTCACCTTGTAATTTCATTTTGTACAGGAGCTTAGTTATAGCAAAACAATAATTAGAGACCAGTGAGAAGAAATAAAAAGCTGGGGTCACACACTTCACCCTCACTAAAGGAAGACAAGAATACAGTGAACATTTGCCCAGTTCATTTTAGAGCCCTGTCTTTCTCAACACTGAAAAACTATGTTAGTCACTCATCCATCTTTTCAGTTTGCCAGCCAGTATTAGTCCGTGGCCTTTCAACAGTATGCTGGGATTATGGGGGAGAGAAGTCCAGAGAGGGAACATTTTTATGCCTTAATTGGGGGAGAGAAGTTCAGAGAGGGAACATTTTTATACCTTAATAGGTGTCATAAGGGAGCACTATTCAGTTACTACTGCCAGCACCACGCTTATCAACTAGATACCTACCTAGTGCTCTTTATGATTTTAAAGCATGAATCCTATTTTGCTCTCTCTTTATTATTGACCTGTTTTTGTATTTTTAATTATTTTTAAAAAAATAGTTATTTTCATTAATGTTTATATTACAAAACCTACGTGGTGTTTAATAGGACAATCTGAACACAAGATCAGGAGCCAGGAACTCCCAAATTTTAATCCCACCTTTCTCACTAAGTCAGATGTCAGTTTTCTGGTCTACAAAATGGACATAATGCTTATTTACCTACTTCACAGGGGGCATTTGGAGGATGTTGTAAAGTGCTCTTAAGATGGAAAGCACAAGAAGTGCTAGATATTAACAACCGTACAAGAACAGTACATAGCAGCACATGTCCCAGCACTTCAAATGGTCCAGAGCGCAGAACAAACTGAAGCTACCAACTCTGGCTAAAATATCTCATCCTCGCTACTCTGAGTGATCTCATCCTCTGTGTCAAAGCCCAAGGCCAGAGTGGAATAGTCATAATTAATAGTTTTTAAGTTCATTTTAAGGAACATTAACTGTTCAATGTTGTCAAAACCTGGACTAGCAGAGTGTTCTGAAACGAGGTGTCTGGCTGTGCTGAAGACACATTCAGAGTGCAGACTACAGGGAGGGCAGCTGAGATACTGAATAGCTACTCGGGTTAATGCAGGCCATCTTCTCAGTTTCCCCTGCCAGTAAATCAGGGGGTCATCTTTAACTGTTATCCCTGAAGACTCATCTTGAAAATACTCTTCTACTACTGCTGCAGCTGATGGGCACAACAGCCTCTTCTTGCCTATTAAAGCTGCACCACTCGAAGAGAAGCCACTGAAGGGATCTGAACCAGAGTAATCTTCCTTAAGGTGAAAAGCAAAAGGATCGGTTCCTATAAGGGATGAATGGCCTGATACTTCTGTAGCTTCCAAGGAACAACCCTCCACTGACGTGCACATATACTCAGATACTACTTCAATAAGGATCTGTTTATAGCTTATCAAGTCAGTACCTTGAGGAAGGAATTCTTCTAAATTGTCTTTAAAGCAGGGATCTAATAAAGTGGCCAAGATGTAATGCTCAGATCTGAGCACAGTGCTCAGTCGGGAGTCAGTTTCAAGCCTCAGAGACAAGTCATCCACCAGCCCGAGAGCTACAGTGGCACCTTTGATTTGAAAGTCTTTTCGCATGTTCTGCAGAGTCAAAAGCAGGCGGCGAACTAATGGCAGCACCTGACTAAGACCTGCAGTGCACATACTCACTTCCTGAGTGGCTTCTTCAAACGGCTCAAGGATGTCACACACGTGAGCCATCAGACACCACTGAAATGAGGTGAGGATGATCCCATCCACCCTCCCCACGTGGTGTTGCATGGAATAGTCATGCACTGCCTTCTGCTGCTCTAAAAGTCGCCTCAGCATATAAAAGGTGGAGGTCCACTGGGTGGCTACCTCCTGCTTCAAGTTGTGCTGCGGAAGATGGTTTGCATGCTGGAACTCCTGCAAAATTTGACGGGCCTTAACAGAATGATTAAAATGATGGCAAATCTCTCGAGCAGCTACTAACATGCTCCTCATGCTTTTGTGCTCACGGAGGAAGTCTTGAATTACTAAACTTAAACAATGCATAAAGCATGGCACTTGGGTAAAGTCTCCATCTCTCACTGCATGCACAACATTGGCAGTGTTGTCAGAAACTATGAAGCCAGGGGTGAGGGAATTGGGGGAAAGCCACACACCGATTTGGTAATTTAGTTCTTGTAAAATACTGGCTGCTGCATAATCTTTAGCAAAGCCAGTTACACAAAGAGCTGCCTGCTTCCTACAACTGGGAGTTTTGCTGGCACTGTGAGAGGAAGACAGCAGCATTTCAAAAGACACCCAATGTGCCATCACTGTCAGATAGTCTGTGGTTGGTTCATGGGTCCACATGTCAATGGTTAAGTGAACTTTTTTGCACTCAGCTTTCTCCAGAGCCATGAAAACCTTTTCTCTCACAACATTGTATAACCGGGGCACAGCCTTTGTGGAAAAGTAAGTTCTAGACGGCAGCTGATAGCCTGGTGCCACTATCTTCATGAATCTCTGAAAAGCAGGGGTAGAAAAAAATGAGTAGGGTTGCATATCCTCAATAATCAATTCTGTAATAGCCCTATTTATCTGCTGTGCAACTGGAATTTCATGGTATTTAATTTTCTTCTCAGTAGTGGATATTTGAGAGTCTTGCGGAGTCCCAAAGTTGGGACTTATGACCTTTCTTTTACCAAGCATTGGCTTAGGAGATAAAGTTGGCGCATGGACACCCAGGCCTTGAGATGTTAAACTGTAACTGGCTGTAAGTTTATCCCTCCGAGATGAGAAATAGCTTGAAAAGCTTCTACGACAGAGAAGTGACAAGTCCATCTCCCTAGGACCAATAGAAAAATCCTCAACTGTTTCCTCGTCTACACCGTTACCAATAGTGCCATTAGATTTGTTGGCCATGGCCCAGTGTACAGGATGCATGGCCTGCAGATGCCGTTGCAGTGTGGAAGTGCCAAGGTGAGTGCCGGGTCTGCCTCGACTGACACTCTTTTTACAGACATTACAAACAGCCCTGCAGGTATACTGAGGATCAATGTAGAAGAAGTTCCAGACAGCTGACGTCTTGGTCCTGGTTCCCGGCATCAGGACGCGTTTGACAGTATTGCTTTCAATGAGAAAACTCTCTCGGTCTTCTCCAGATGCACCAGAAACGACTATTGCTGCGGCTGCCCTGGCTGCAGTCGTTGCGCCTGTGGGACCCACATCTTTGGCAAAATTTTTTGAAAGCTCTGGTTTTCCTGGGTATAACTCATTAACCTGCAGTCCTTTCTTTCTTCTTTTTTTGTTGGAAAACTGGCCCAGTGCCTCTTCCACACTGCCATTGTGAAAGTGAACATTGGGAATATATTCCAAACTCCCGCTGCTGCTCAAACTGCTAAATCTGCTATCAGGGGAGATTGGTGACACAGGCACATTAAAGGCATATTCTTCCTCCCCTACACTGCTTCCACCAGTAGCACTTATTTTATTAGCCATGGCCCAATACACAGAATGCTTTGCCTGGAGATGCCGCTGAAGCGTCGATGTGCCAAGGTGGGTGCCTGGCTTGCCACGGCTGACGCTTTTTTTACATAGGCTGCAGATGGCACGACAGGGGTACTGGGGATCAACATGGAAGAAGTTCCACACGATGGAAGTCTTTGCTCTCGTACCAGGCAACAGAACCCGTTTTACTGTATTGCTCTCGATAAAAAAGCTCTCTCCATCTTGCTCAGGAGCACCAGGCATGACTACTGCAGCTGCAGCACAGGCAGCTTCAACAGCACCTGCCGGTCCCAGATCTTTAACAAACTTTTTAGACAGCACCAGTTTTTTATGGTGTGGCTTTCCCTTAGTCCGCAACCCCTTCTTTCCTTTATGTTTGGCAGGTTGCTCCACCCCTTCCACCACCACTTTATCATCATCCTCAGTGTCAGAGTGGGCACTGGGAATAAATTCCAGACTGCCGGCACTACTAAAGCTGCTGCACCTACTACTGGGAGAGACAGGGGAGACTGGCACACTGAAAGAATATGCACTCATTCTCTATTTCCAAAATTTATGCCAGAACTGGGAGTAATTTTACTATGGAATTATTGACAACTGATCTTGCCCACTTAAGTGATCTTTTCTTGAGTGTCTGTAGGAGTCAACTTCCTCTTGAACCAGTTGCTTGAATGGGTACTATTTTAAGAGGAAAAGGAACAGAAGAAAGTACCTCTACACCAACTTTTTCCTGAAATGCTCGGGTATCCTGTCCCAAATTTAGCACCGTCTATTAAGCCTAATCAGTTGTATACACATCCAACTTAATCCCATGCCATGGTGGTAGTTCCAAGTTCCCCTGTTTCCAAATTAACTATTCCCAGGATATTTCATTTTTATAATCAAATAACACAGCAGTCTATTCTGAAAATAAGGTGCACAGCTCAATCCCCGAGTGCAATGTGCACTCGTGCACCCCAAAGCACCAGTTTCGGGAATGATTTTCCGACTCCACATACTGATAGGTATGATATGAGGAGCTATTTTTGTATTTTCATTCTCAATTAAAAATCAAAGCTGATGGGAAGGGTTTTGTTGTTTGTCGGTTAGTTTTAGGCAGCCAAGGTCAATATCAACAACAATTTGATTTTGTGTTTATTTTTTTTAAACGAGCTAAAGAAGAATTTAAGTCAGCTACTGGGTGCATCCAGAGTTAGTCTAGATCCTGATTTCAATCCCTTTGGGGTACTGTGTGCAGCCTGCAAAATTAGTAATTGACAGCAGGTTCCTTGTAAGTACCACCAGAAACGGGAAGCACAGCCTTTAAACTCCGAAGACCTTTCTGTTCTAAAGGGAGCCACCTACACTGGAATCTTCTCTTTGCTCCACTTAACATCTGGGGCTGAGCCAGGGACTCTCCTTTCCCAGGAGTCCACAGGGAGCTTGGGAATGGGAAGAGAGGGGGCAAATATTCTTCACTCAAAACCTAACGTGCCAAGGGAGGAGAGGGACAGTGCCCTGGCAGTAACAGGGGGCCTGGCATGGGAGGAACTCCCTCTGCAGCCCCAAGAACCGGACCCAGGGATCCTTCAATCTCAGCCGGAAGTGTGTGTGTGGTGGGGGGGTCTCCCCTACTCTCCCTCTTTCCCAGGGTGGGGGCGGATTTACCCCTGAATCGGAGCCCCCCGGGGGTCCCCGCCCCGGCTCTCTAGGGCGCTTGGCCCCAGGCTGAGGGAGCCGCCAGGGAGGGTCCCCGGGGCCGGCAGGGGGGATGCGGCCTGGTCCCCACGGGTCGCTCCCGGGGGGCGGGGGGGGGAGGCAGGAGGCCCGGCCTCAGCCCCGGGGGCTGGTGAGGAGCCGCCCCCGGCCCTGGTTCTATTAAGGGCTCTAGTTACCGGCGAGCGGGGACTTTACCGAATCCCAAGGAGCGGTCGCCTCCGTCGCGGCTGCTGGGTCCCCCCCGCTCCGCTGGCTCCTCTGTCTCCGGGCCGGGGGCAAAGCTCGGGCCACCCGCCGCCGCTGCCAGCCTCAAAGATGGCACCCAACACCAACATACGGGCACTCGACCCGCCCGCAACTAACATGGCGGCCGGCGCGGCTGCGCCTGCCCTCACAAAACAACTCCCAGCATGCAGTGCGGCATCGGCCCGCCGGCGCCCGGGAAACGGCGTCGTCGTTGCACGCTGGGAGACGTAGTCTCCACGAGCTAGGTCAGAACACCCTGGCGCATTGCATGCTGGGACAGGTAGGCTCTCAATTGGGGAACGGAGAAAGTGACGCTGGAGCAGTGCATGCTGGGACTTGTAGGCTGACTGGGAGTATGGCATGCTGGGCTTTGTAGGCTAGGCAGCTGACCCAGTTTGTACCTCGTCTGCCCCAGGCAATTGCAGTGGAGAGCATCCAGAGGTGGGCCTCCATTTTGAAAATAATGTGGCCCTTAATTAACGACGACTGTTGCACCATTGCTGCCTCTCACAGTTTTATTGTGAGTCTCTGTAGCTGCTGGTGGTGTAAAAGCTCCAGCTCTTGGGGTCATGTGATTATTTTTTAACATCTTAAGTTTCTAGCTCTTGTGTTTGTGGAGAAAAGCTTGTAAATGTGAGCCCTAAAGGCTCAGACAATAGAAGGCAAATATCAAGGACCCCCAACAATTATGATTTAAAAATCTGATGATTCTGGAGTGGAGGCTGAGCTATGATTTTTGGATGCTTGCAGTAGTATTAGTCTTGTTGTGTCTCCTGGCAGCCCACCAGAAAATCCCCCAAACAACAAAAACATCAAAGACTGATTTTCACAGGTGCTGAGCACTCGGAAGTTCCTACTGACTGCAAATTGGGTTTGGGAATGTGGAGCATTCCTGAAAACCAGGGCCTTGTATAAATGGTATGTGGAGAAAGAGTGATTTCCTAGCATGTCTTTAGAGCAGAGATCATCTTTATGTTCTGTGTTTGTACAGTGCCTAGCACAATTGAGTCTTGGGCCATGACTGGGGCTCCTAAGCACTGCCCAATAAGTTATTAATTACATTATAATATCTTACTGGTGTAGATTTATAAAGCCATAAAAGTACTCTTGCATGTTGCCACATTGACTTCCCTGGGCCCAGATTTAACCTGCAGAGCTTTGATGCAAAGGCACATCCAAATAGACATGGATGTTCTGATACTACTAGAACAGGATTTAAGCTGGAAAAATAATATTTTTGCTAATTCAAACCAACTATCATTAGCCAAATTGCAAAAGAAGAAGGAAACAGGGAATGGGAAGGAGAGTGAAAGGGGAAAAGGAGGAGGCTGAAAAGGGGGTAAAGGATGAAGGAGGGAAGGGAGAAAGGGACATTGAAGGGTAGGAAGGAGAAAGGGATTTGGGAGGAGAGAGAGGGGTGTTGGGTAAAACAGTCACCCTCTCCCCTGGCTGAGCCAGCGTCACCTCTTGTGGGGTCCATGCCTGTGCACCCCCTTGGTACTCCCACATCCCCCAGCCTTCAATCCATTTCCCCCTTGCTGGAAGAAATTGACAAGCATTCACTCTGTGTGTGGAAGGGAGCGGGGGGAGAATGTGGGCGAATATGGTTATTCTAACAGTCAAATCCAAACGGTCAGGCAGCAATTCCAAACCCAAGCAAGCAGAGGGAATAGCCAGGAGCTCCCTCCTCTCCTTGGCTGGCTTCCCTGCTCTGTTTTTCTCTCCCTTCTCACTTTCTCCCTGTAGCTGTTGGTTTATTTTGCTCCCTGTCTCTTTCTTTCCCTCACGTTCACATCCGTGACTGCTGCCCCCACCTCTACCTTATCTGACCCCCAGTTAACTCCTCACCCGCCCTCTCCCAATCTTGCGCAGACCTTGTTGGGTGTCCAGCTGCCATCACTGAACTTCGCCAAGATCTTCTGTTGACTATCCAGCTGCCTGACCGCTGTTAGCCACCATCCCCGACTCCCCAAAGCCTCCCATTGTGGCAGGTAGTGTGGTCTCATAGTGAAGGCACAGGCCTAGAAGCCCTCCCCACTGCCCTGCACCTTGTGTTGTCATTTACACCTATGCAAAGTAGGAGGTGAGTGAACACAATTCTGATCTGGCAGCATTGCACGCTCACTTTGCGCAGGTGAAAAAGATCCCACAAGGTGCGAGGCAGTAGCGAATCAGGCCCTTGGATTCAGGACTCCTGGGTTCTATTTTCACAGGCTTGAGGCGTGTCCTTAGATACCTCACTTCTCTCGGTCCCTCAGTTTTCCCATCTGTACAATGGGGGGTGATGATACTTGGCTAAATTCATTACTGTTTGATAATGTGCTTTGTGATGCTCATAGTGAAGGTGCTTTCTTCCAAAGGACAGGAGCCCGATGGCTTGGAGCATTTAAATCTAGGCTGGACAAAACTTTAGAAAAATATTGTGCAGAGAACAATCCTGGAGTCAGCTACTATGCCATGGAGTTCTCAAACACTTGCATAGCACAGACCATATCTTAACAGAGGGTGGATGTCCTGTAGAAACATTCCCTCCCATTCACAATCACGCAGCCCACTTCCCGTCCCAGTGACAATCAAATAACATCAGTGACCAGAACAAGTGCTTATGTGGGCAAGTATCTTTGGGAAAGCGTTTACGGGTTTTTTTAGCTTCTTCTAAAGCAACGGAGCAGCAGGAAATGAGAAGCCACCAGCACTACTGACCAGACAGGTTTCCATGGACCATCACTGAATGCTCTGCAAGCCAATGGTGGTCAACAGATCCTAGCTTGGGAGCCATTAGACTTGACACCCTGATTGGTGCTTTCTGTCTGTGGTGATAAAAGGGCAAAGTACTGGAATATTTCTCTCGCTGCCATAGATTGAATTAGCGACACGGGGCTTTTAAAATGTGCGACAGAGATTCACAAGGCAGGGATGCAACTGAATAGAGCAGGAGCTTTCAATGAACTCTATACAGTTGGATAAAGCTGTTGATTAACAAATGCATCTGTGGCTCATGACCCTGTCTGACCCTCTCGTGTGAAACTGCTGCGGCTGTGAGCAGAGCTGGACTCTCTTCACTTTAAACAGTGCTGGCAGGGCCTTCTCTGGGATGGACTTTGGAACATGGAATCGGAGCACTGGAGGGAACTGTGAGAGATCATCCAAGCCAGTCCCCTGCACTCATGGCAGGACTAAATATTATCTAGACCATCCTGACAGGTGTTTGTCTAGCGGACTCTTAAAAATCTCCAATGATGGAGATTCCACAACCTCCCTGTACATTTACCCCTTGCCTGTCAGAGCCTTTAACAACTTCTTGGGCGCCCACACACTGCAAAGGTGCGGGAAACTTTTCATGAGCGATTTGGGAGCAGATGGGCAGGAAATAGGGGCTGGATATTATGGCCGTTATCTGGGGTGCTTGCATTAATGACGTAGCAGTGTTGGAGTATTGGCGGCTTGACACTGTTGACAGTTTCCTTAATAGTTATTTTGATTTTTGTCCTTTCAGTGTCTTGAAAGCGGCTCGCCTATGGGGTTGGTGATCTGCAATCTACCTACATGAATCTTAGGGCATCAATTCAAGGAGCTCACGGTAACACAGGATATTACAGTAGCACAGTGACGGTGTAGGCACATACAGCACCTAATTGACCTGTTTGGTGTGCAGAAACCTGAGCCACATGCTGAGGGTTATCTCCTCTTTTTCTTGAAGGGCTGTGGGATATTTCATTCACCCCTGGGCAGCCCACCTGCTGCATCAGAACAAGACCAGCAGAGGTCCGTACTATACCTCAGGGCTGGACTAGATGGCCTCTCAAAGTCTTTTTCTGCCCTGCCTTCCAATGAGGCTATGCCCAAGCTCAGACTGGATGATCAGAATGACCCCTTCTAACCTTAAAACCCATCACGTTAGTTTCCTATCTCCTCTGACAGACCAGGGAGGAGAGCGGCAGAGCAGGGAGCCTGCCTTTCAAGCAGCACAGGTGGGTGTAGCATCCCATCTGCTGTTGAACAGCTATCAGCTATACCCTACATCAGTGCTGCTCAAAGTCGGGCTGCTGCTTGTTCAGGGAAAGCCCCTTGGCTGTGTCCGCCAGCACATCCCTCGGCCCGCGCCGCTTCCCGCAGCCCCCATTGGCCTGGAGCGGCGAACCGCGGCCAGTGGGAGCCGCGATCGGCCAAACCTGCGGATGCGGCTGGTAAACAAACCGGTCTGGCCTGCCAGGGGGCTTTCCCTGAACAAGCAGCGGTCCGACTTTGAGAAGCACTGCCCTACATAACGTGTCATTCCCTCCACCCATTGCGCTTCTTTTCTCCTGCCCCACAACCCATTTTCATGATGTGAAAAAAAAATCTGCTTAGCTAGGATGATGCCATAAGTCTTCTGCATGCCAAACGTGCCTGTACGTCCGGATGAAGTCTAACTTAGATGGCAAGACTACCTGGGTCCTGGGACCCATCCCATCTTATGCACACCCAGGGCATGACAAAAATAGCAATGAATGTAAACTGGCTGCCTTGCACTAGAGGAGAAAGCTCTGGTCCTAACAAGAGCTTGTTTTCTGGGATACGACAGGAAGCACTGGAACTGAGGGAAGGATGATGTTTTATTCTCTACAGCTGATATATTGGAGGGGCTCCTCCATTTTGACATCCACTGATGAAGCCCTGTTTAAGTGCAAATAGATGAGCCAGACTGGATAGGTTTCCCTTCCCTACGCTCATCAGCCTTATTCTTTAATGAGTGATCTAAGATTCTTCTTCCTTCAAACCCAAGTGTAGCCAGGCTAGAGCTACCAACTGAGGCATCAAGCAGCTGCATCAGAAAAACCAACGCTGGGCCTCCGCACGGCCACACCAAGCACCACTGGTTAGGCCCCAAGGTCAGCAGCAGGGAAAGGTGTGTGATTAATTGAAAGATAAAGAAACAAAGAGACCAAATTTAGGTGTTCACAGCCGAAAAGAGGGGAATTAAAAGGTTAGGAAATAAAACGTAACCAGGAAGCGATGACAGAGATAAGAGACAGGAAAAGACAAATGATCACAGGGAGAAAAAGCTTCCTGGAGTTTGTGCACACTCAGGCCAAGCCTGATTGCTGGCCACTACTGCCTAACTCACCAGCACTGATCCCTCAGACTAGACAAGGGCAAGCTAAGCTAAACGGCACTAGGCTCAACTGATGCAAACTCCAACTTGCCCATGTCTACACATGGAATTGACATGTTAGCTCATATGATGTGAAACTCAGCCTAGAAAAGAACGAGCGGGTTAGCATTGTTTCAGCTGGTGGTTGTGGTTAACCCTAGGGACCATATGAATGCTCAGCTATATTTTACACATGGTGAGGGACATGTTTAACACAATGTGCTTCCCGAGCATTGACAGGCCTTTAGAGGGAGCACAACTAGAGCCATCGATGACAGCCAATGGCTGATTTGGGGTGGCTGCGTACAAACAAACTCTCAGAGAGATCGCTCAAGGTCCCATTGTCCTGGCTGTAGCCCAGTAGAGCTAGCGATTTCAAATGCGGTGCTTCACACTGACCCAACTCATTCCAAGAAATAACCCAACGGGTCAAGTTAGAGAGAGACTGAGCATAGTGTTAATAAAAGGGCTGCTGGGGAGTAGTCAAACACATCTGTCCTGTGCATCTTAGGCCCGGCCTGCCTTGGCATACGTCCACATCTCTCCATGCCTACAGGACTATGAAATGAGAGCAAATACCAGCCACACACAGACAGCCACCCTCTTTCCCCCTCCCACCTTTTATTATTTTTGGCTCGACACTGATGAAGCCCAAACACACCAGGAAGGAAATAAATGGATGACATTTTTGTATCTTTTTATTTACAACAGGATTAAAAAATGCTTGCCCATGAATGACTGATGGCCTCCCATATTCAGTCTGGCTTTGTCAGAGACACACTGTGGAGGACCATAGACGCCGACAGACACGGAGGACAGAAGCAGTAAATATTTAGCACTGATATCTAATGAGGCTTTGCTTTTATTTTTATTTTTTTAAACCACAGACTAAGGCAGTGAGTCGCTGGGTCAATTTTTTGTTTGTTTGGCTGTTTAAAGCAGCAAAAGTTCATCACTTAAATTAAATCACAACCCCAGGCAGGCTGCAGGAGTTCTCTATCAACCACCCCATTCAGTTAATGAAGACTGAGGTAGGAGGCTCTTGTGAAATGGAGTTGAGTCAAGGCCCAAAAGCAGTTAGCAAACTAGCCAAGGTAGCGAAAGTCTGGCTCGTGAGGTAAAAGCCCAGGAAATACTTAGCTCACACTGTAACATGCAGTGGGAAGTAAACACCTGTATGCAGCTGGGAGCCTTTTTAAATCGATTGTTTTCTTTTTAGAAAAAGAAGTCAGTTTTAATTCTGGCTTAACTTTTCAGAGGTGCTGGGCCCCTTCCAGCACCCATTGACTTTAACTGGAAATGGAATCACAGGTGCTTCGCACTTCTGAAAAGCAGAACTTTTCCTGCAGCAGTGATATTCTTCTAATTACAGATGCCAGCTGGTGCCAGTCAAGAGCTCAACCTAGCTTCATTGAAGCCAGTGGATTTATAGCAGCTGAGGATCTGGGCCATGGGTTTAAGGATTTGTCTACATGGGAAAACTGACTGGCATAATTATACTGATAGTTATGCTGGAAAATTTCCCCACTTAGACACACTTATGCTGGAATAATTGTGCCTTCTTTCTGATTTTGCCTGTAGTACTTTTGAAGGGTTTAAATTATATCAGAATAAAGGCACTTTTAATCTGGAGTAAGCGTTCATATGGAGACATTTATCAGTGTAACTAGAGAGGTATAATTATGCTGGTAAATTTCCTCATGTAGACTAAACCTAAGGAATCTCACCTGAAATTCAATGCTAAGATTGGCTATGCCCACCCATAAAAGTGATCACCACCACGGGCTTGTCAACATAAAAAAAATTGTACCACTAACTACACAGATACAGTTATACCAATAAAAAGGTGCTTATACCAGGACAGTTTATTCCACTAAGTGAAGGCAGAATAAACTATGCCAGTATAACTACATCTAGACTAGGGCTTGTTACTGGTATAATTACAGTGGTAGGAAATCACCCCTCCCACTGAAAAATTTGTATTTGTACAAAAACTGTGCAGGCTAAGCCTCAGAGAGCATGGCCCTTCCCGTGAAAGGAACTTAAGTGATGGAGTAATGAAGGGCCCCCTGACCTACCAATTTCAGCGACATGAAGTTGCTTGTTTCACACCAAATCCAGGTCATGCTACAGCTCTGTGCAAAGCCATTTATGTTAAAGAACAGAACTTTTGCCCTATTTATCCACCCCAAAGCCTAAGGGAGGAAGGCCCAGCTTGTCAAAAGGTGTAAGGAATTAGGTGCCTAAATACCTTTGAGGATCTGGGCCCAATTTGCTGAGCTTGTATCCTGATCTCTCTTCTCCACTCAGTTTGGGCCCAACTTTGATTGAGACGCATAGAGTCCAATCTCTTAGCCTTTCCCAATCACACACACGTTTGGCTACTGTAGGACTGCAACGTGGTTCATCAGTGACCCCATGCCAGTGCCTCTGCAGCTGGTAACCTGGCCCCATTACAACGAATCTTGGTAGAACTAATTGCAGTGGAGTTCCCATCAAAGTGGCAGGATGGAAATAGGAGACGCAAGCTCAGTAGGAATAATGATGTTGCTCCTATCTGCCAATGCCCAACCAACCAAAATTATTGCCCAAAAGGAGCTACAGGCCAACACAGTAACAAGGAACAGACATTATGCACAAAAATGAGAGACTGACAGTGTGAGCCACAATTGTTGGCATGATAACTGGGTATGGGAAGAAAACCAACACCACACAACTACGTAAATTAGCATCGCAGCTGCTGTTCAGAAAAAACTGACTAGGTCCATAAATCACTGGGAGCATTTGTGCTGAATAGCATCCAATCAGAACCAGCTTTTACTTTTAACAATAAACTACATTTCTGACTGTATCTTTTAAACCCAAAAAGACAGGCTTTAAGGGTTAGCTAGTGTGTGATCCCAAAAAGAGGTTAAATATTTGACAGAACACCACTGGGAACAATGGTGACCCTGCCAGGAACTTGCATTACAACTCCTGTAACCACTTCTCCCATTCACCGAAGCTCAGACCTAAGCTTAATTCACATCAGTTGATTTGCTGGTCTCTAAGACAGCGGTCCCTAAACTGTGGGGCATACCACTGAAATGGGGGAGGGGGGTGCACAGGGGGGCCCAGGCCAGTCCCAACAGGAAGCATGAAGGAGTGCCACCCAGCCCTGCTCCCAGCCCAGCTCCGGCCCCAGCTCTGCCCTCATTCCCACAAGCCCCAGCTCCGTTGTCAGCCCACGCTCCTCTCCTGAGCTGACTATGCTGTAATGAAAGGGGGGCGGATATCAAACCACATGGTCCTAAAAATGGTGCAACCCCTGAATAGTTTCACTTGTGGGAACAGTCCCATTGGTTCCGATAGACTACTCAGATTAGTAAAGCCATTCCTGAGCATAAATGCCAAAGGATCAGGGCTTGTTTCAGCTACATCTTTTGATAAATTTCGAATGCTAATTGCAGTTTGAGACTCCAGCTCAACAAAACACTTAAGCATATGACTAAAGAAGGATGGACTTGGATATTTAAAGGGCTTTACTGAATTGAGGTCAAAACTAGAAAGCTGCAGTTCAACTCCATTGCCATACTGCAGTTGGAGACAGCATCTGGAGAGACACTGTCAGAGGAATAGGAAAATGTCCACATGGCCATATCTGTGAGAAGACATTAGCTTTGGCTAGTGTTTGACAGCTGCTTCTGGACCTTGCTCGAAGATGGTAGAAGTCAGAACGACTGAAACAAACAGAGTTCAGTACAGTCACCCACAGCTGAAGAGGGAGATTGGAAAACCTATTAAATAAAATTGTTTTCATGGTGTGAGATTGAAACAAACAAAACACCACCAGTTTCCACACTACAGCTTTGCTCGGAGGTGAGCCTTTAAGTGCAACCCTTCGTCTCAGCGTCAGTAGATGATCAGTGACTTCACAAGCTGGTAGACATACACTAAGGACAGCACAATTACATGTGGGCACATTTTATTCTCTCAATGCACTCGCACATTGTTTCTGCTCAACAGCAAAAGCTTTATTGATTCAAAACATTACCCCTTTGTTTCCCCCTCTATCTTCCGTTGTGTAGTTTCCCCCTGCCCCTTCCATTTCCAATCACAGCGTTATCTATGCTTTGAGTTCCAAATTCTCCCAGAAGCAGCTAGTTGACAATTCATTCAAAAAAGTATTTTTTCCTCCCCAAGAACCATATAAATTACATGCAAAACATTGTACATAGAGATTAAATAATATCAAAATGCAAATACAGATCAGGTGCACTTTAAGCTGGACTCTAGGATATGGCAAACACACCAGGGTACATATTGCTTTGAAACCACCATTGTTTTTAATGTCATGCATACCACATAATAGTCAATCTTTTATTTTGTCATTTTTTTCTTTTTTTTTTTAAATACAAAAATACCAGTGCTTATTATACTAGTTACTGAAAAAAAGAAACTCAAGTTCAAACCTGCGTGCTCTTTTCAAAAGAAAGATTTTGGTTATTTTGTTGTTTTTTTTAAAGAGAGTCAGATAAATATATACAAAGTGTATATTTCTGTATATATATTTATTTAGGGTTAGGAAATAAACTAAAGGCCATTTTAGCCATGGACTTTGCTGAAAGGCTAATTAACTTAACATCCCAACCACAGCCCCCTTTTTGGGGGGGCCAGCAGGGACATCAGAGGCAAAAGCACAAGAGGTCAGACAGCCAAGAGGAAGAGATGGGCAGAATTACTGACAAGGAAAGGGAAAAAGAGACATCACTAATAGGACCGCACAAGTCACAAAGCAGCATTGGTTTTGACCCATAAATTCTAGGTAAGCCTGAAGGAGTTATAGTCCGTTATATCAGGCCAAAGTTATATTCACCACAACTATACTTAGCTTGTTCTTCTCTCAGAAAGATTTACTCCGGGAATATGTGCGGGGGAGTTGATTTTTCAGAGCACATTTCAGGAGATCCTTAAAGATAGCTCAGCGAATTGGTAAATTCACAAGGAGGTGGGGACAGCAGAAGTTGAAGTCATCTAAGACTTTCTCACGGCACAAACAGAACCTACCATCACCCTTCCCCTCCTCTTGGGGCTGTAGCTCCCAGAGACAACTATCAACAGCCATTTGCCACAACACACATGTGAAGGCAGAAAACCTGGGGACACATGAAAAGCAAAGGCCTTGACTGTTGGGGAAAAATAAAATGAGTCTCTGCCTGGTGGAACACTGGAAGAAGTCACTATAGCAACCGATCTTGAAGATCCCTTCCTCAGAGGGCCTGATCCAGAACCCATTGAAGGCCGTGGGAGTCTGCAGTGGGCTTCGAATTGACTCTTCCCCGGCATGATCCAAAGTTAAACCCGCTACAAGTCGTCCATGCTCCCCACAGAGAAAGCTTCTAGATGAGGGACAGACTGAACATGTATCAAAAGGAAGTATGTTCCTCTGCCCCAGCTCATTTATTTTTACAGCCTACCCATGGCTAAAATTCAGTTTAGTATTTTTCCTTCTGGTGATTTTATTTTTCTTGTTTTGTTTTAATTTTTTCCTTAAAAACTTATTGCACAAAACCTTTGAAAATTAAAGTCAGATCCCTGTGCAAACAAACACCCCCTTTCCAAACCTAATCACATGATGAAAGCTCCTACAAATGGATATTCACCATTGCACACAGGAAGTGATGTAATGTCTTTGGTACCAATCTGCCACTTGATTTAACAAAACAAAAAACAGACCCTACCCTTAAGAATTGGATGCAAAATCGTTTAGAGTGTTTTAATAACACAGCATTCCAAGGCAAGTTAACACGTATCACAGGATATTACTTCATTTCCTGTCTGACATGGCACTATCTGTTTAATTTTTTCCCTCCCACTCGTCCTGTTGGCAGTAAAAAATAAAATAAAAACCTTTCTCCATCTTTCAAGGCATGTTTTAAGAAATTCATTTAGGCTACCATGCCTTTTAAATTGAAAGCACCATCTCTTTCTCTCCCCAGTTTAAGTTTCCTCAATAACTTAAGCCATAGTTAACTGCTGCCAGTTTATCACGGAAACTAAATAGAAAAACAATATTTTACATAAAAAAGTATGCACAATAAACGCTTATACTTTAAGCAACCAGCCATACCAACATAATTTATATAAAAAACAGTTCTGTGTAATCCAACTAACTTTTAGTACAAAGATGGCTGCTCAGAGAAAGGAAGTTGATTGGAATCTGACCAATCTTTAAGTTACCTGTCACTTTAAACTGCCAGTCATGTGATCACATTCCATTGCAGACACATGACTTACAGCTTTGTTTTTTTCCTTTAAACAAAATACATATGGCTGACTTAAAAATATCAGTTTCTGATCTAAAGAAAACTATATTTTTTGCATAATATTTATATATAATTATTTCCCCCCCTCCTACGATTGAAACTAGAACAAAAAAATAAATTGACTAAAAAGGTAGACCAGACCCTCATGGTAACCTGTCAGTCACAGAGACTTCTGGGAGTGACTTTTTAAGCGCTTCCAAAGTTCCCCCTGCCCCCCCCAAAAGTTTTTTTTTTTAAACAGGTCCGAGGTAATAAAAAAATATCAAAGAAACAAAATCAGTGTCCCCCAAAAGTATTTAATAAATATTTACGTAAACTCCTAAGAACACCGTATTTTCATCTGTTGTGGGGTTTTTTTGCAAGTATTTAAAATAGAAAAATGATCTTTTAAGCAATGTAAGCTTTAAAACAGAAAAACTAAAATCCTTTTCTCTTTCCTATCAGATAGGTCATGTAAGAGACCAAGAAACAGCTAAATTTCCCCCTTAATCCCTCCCAATTATAGCTCAAATGAAGAATGAAAGGAATGAAGGAAGCAGGTGGTTTTTTCTGGATGAAAGGGGTGGGCTTTGATTTGCAAGTAAGATGCACAGTGGTGGTTATTTCTTCTTGGTATTGGTAGTTTGTGGAGCCTAGCATCCCCTCCTCTTTACTAGCCATGGAGCAGAAGACCCTGTGAGAAGGACCTTTCATTGGTCTACCCTGAACAGATGTGGAATGAAGCGTGACAGCGCCAGGGCATGAGTCAGTGTTGGGTTGTTTAAGGAACACTTATTTCTTGGCAAAGTACCGGGCTCCCAAGTGGCAGACGGTGCTTTGGGCAGTGCTTGGAAAAGGCACGGGAGTTTTTGCTGTGCGTTCTTAAAAACAAAAAACTAAGAAAAAAACCCCACACAACCTTCACTCGCTCATTAAGATATTTCTGCTTGTTAGGAAGGAGGCTGGGCAAGGCCCCCCTGTCCCTTTTTGTCACAAACCCTTTAATACAGCCAGTTGCAAGTGGGTTCTCTCTCTGCTTCCAGGTACAGCTTTTAATTGAATAAGTGTTGGATAAGGGGGTAAAATAGATAACCTTCTACAGCATTTCTCCATGACACCAATCTAGGGCCAAACTCTGAGAGGCACGAAAAGTACCCAATGAAGTCAACAGGAGTTGCAGACATCTCCCATCACTCATGATTTGACCCTTTCTTGGCATCACAAGTGAGTTTGCTCAGAACTATTTCATTGAGTGGCTTCCCAGATGATCAAAAGCTGAAGCCCAGGCCTCTCACCCTGCCACAGCCTAAATATCAGGGGACAAACCTAAAAAACCCCAAGAGACACATTAACAATTAGCACAGGACACCCTGGAACGGATTTCTCCAGAGTAAGTTACATTGGCTATGACCTTAGCTTCACGGATCATCATTTCTTGCATCTGCTTGTAGTACTGAGATGCAACAAGATCCAGGCAAGAGGGGAAGCAAATTAGGGTTTAAGGTGGAGAGGGAACCATTGTGACAAGGGAGAGTGGGGCAAAGCCTAGCTATTAAGCCTCCTCTGAAGTTCTGATGAAGGAGGTGCCCTTCCCAGGAATAAGACAGCCATGTTATAGGAGGATGCCCCTATTTGCAAACAGCTTCATCCAACCCTAGAAAGACATAGACAGGACAATTCCATCATGAGGCGGGTATGTACACTGAATGGGATTGTGCAGATATGGCCACTGCAAATATGGCTTCCCCTACTACAGTCTCTTCTCTTTCCCAAGGGACCTGCAAAACCCAGCAAGGATGGGTAGCCTTAAGTTGCCCCAGTGGTTCCATGAGCAGCTGGCAGTCGATTCCCATCCAGACCCCGCCACTGCTTTGAAATAGATGTGCAGCACGTGGTATGTTCTTTGGGATGAACCTTAGCCGCGGCTAGCCTCACTCCAGGGCCAAAGGAATATTTAAATCTGACAGTTTAAAAAACAAACAAACAAACAAAAACCACGCAAAAACACCTCTGCTCACCAAAGTGGTTCAGAAATGATTTGCTATTAAATTACGCATGACTCTTGCCGACCATCGAAAATCCTGCCGACCGATATAATACAGTTCAAGAGCAAAAAGATGCATTTAAAAAGGTCTGCAGAAAGTAAGACTTCTTATTTCCAGTCATGGCAGTTCTTGGAGAACATTCCCAGCAATGGTGGCAGCATCTCCCGTGGGGCTTTGTAACAAAGCAGGGTCTTTTTCAAATCATCTCTTAGCCAACATATTTAAGACTCTTAAATCACCCTCCTCCCTTGTTTTTAATCACAGTTAGCATGTTGGAAACAGAGAGACACACACATACGAAGACAGAAAAGTAGTAAAGGTTAGGTACCATTTTTTCAAGGTGGAAGACTGGTTTACATACTCTAACCATCAGAGTCTCCCGCCGGGAATAGCTGTTTGGTTTTTCCCTTTCCTCCTCTTTAACACAATTCAAGATTTTTTCCCCCTGTTCAATTTTTAAATCTGTACCTTCATGCTGCTTCTCCCCCCGCCCCACAGTGTGACGTTATCGGGGGTCAAATCCCACAAGCTAAAAGACCCCCAAGTCACCCCACAAATGCACCTTCAGATGGCGAGCGTGCATGTAAGACTATTTAAGACAATCTGAACCTTTTCTTTGAACATGCATTTTTCAAAATGAAAAACCCCTATGGACACACGGAACCTGACTCAAGGAGAAGAAATATCAACTTGTCTGTTTCCCACCTGGGCAACTACCCACTGCAAACTGCTCCCTCCCCCCTCCCCAACCCATGGTACTCTGGTTCCTGCCACTAAATCATAAAAGGAAAACAAAATAGTATACATATGAGCAGTTAACATGAAGTGACCACTCTGCAATATCAGTTATTGGTGCTGATATCACACGGGACTCAGGGTGAAGGAAGTGAAGGGGGTAGCAAAGTTCAAAGGTCAAACCGATGATTCCAGGCTGTCTAAGGGGCTTCCAAACTCCGGGACGGTGTTCTCGGCTAGATCGCTGTCCACCGCATTGTTATTTTGGTTGAGGGAGAAGGATTCACCTGGGCTACTCCCACCTTGGTTTTTGAGTCCGTCAGTCTTGGAGTCTTCTTCTGCGTCGTCGAGGAATGGGGATTGAGGCTCGTCTTCCTCCATGATGAACTCAGGGTGAGTTGAGAAGTTATGAATGGAGCTTCTGGATTCGGGTTTCTTGAGGCCTTCATATAAAGAGCTACGGAACGCATTCACCACTTTGATCTGTCAGGAGGTTGGGGTGGAGGGTAGGGGATAAACAGAGAAGAGGTGAGAGGCGGCCATAGGGAGATCTCAGGAACTTCAGGTGAAAAATAAAAAAAGACAACACCACCACTACAACAATACGGAACAAAACTCAATAAAAATAAGAGAAACTATGGGAAACTACGATGGCCACATGGATCAAATTCAGGAGTAGGTGTGTGATGGGGCAACCGACTATGGGGCGACTTCAGAAGCTGTAAGAAAAGACAAACATTTCCAAACAGATCACTTTGAAATGAATGGAAATCAAAATGCATTAGTTCTGGTGCGTGCGCGCACACGCTTCTGTGCATTTAACAAAAAGACAAAATAAAAGTGGAAGTACAACTCAAAAGAGAGGTGGGTTAGACACACAGTGATTTGGCTTCTAGGCAAATGGGAAGTGATGCATTTATAGTTATTTATTTATTTTTTGTAAACCTATAAAAAGGAATCAGTTTAAAGGTGTCATGGCTTCATCAACTCCGCGTGGAGCAGCAGATCCAAGCAGATGGCACTAACAACAAACGTACCCAGCTAAGCATGCAAGAAGGAAACCAAAGCTGTGCGAGTTTCCACGCTGTAGCCTAGACTCTGGTCAGGAGCTTTCGATCCTTGCCTGCGCCAACACGTTTAAGGCCAGCGTTTCCAAAAGCAGCTGCTGCTTTCAGGTGCCCCTCTTGACATGTGTCGGACCTGGCTTTCCAGAGACATGATGTGCCCACAGCTCCCGTTCGCTTCTACAACAGTCATGGGGGCTCAGCACTTCTGAAAAGCACTTCTGAGCAAGGCCCTCTGCATCTCAAGTTGGGCAGGATTTATAAAGGAGCCTAAGGCATCCCATTCACAAGTTCCTCAGGTTCCTTTGAAAATCCAAGCCTGAAAGCCTACAGCTCTCTCACCCCACCCTGCAGTCAAGTCACAGTTTATTCGGTCACAGGTTTAAGGTCCAATTCACATTTTCAACACACAAAGGTGAAGCAGGCAGCGACCTGGTAACACTGCATTTTTGATGATGGTGACTTCTCCATGGGCACACTCACCCCAAACCCACGCGTGTGCGTGCGATGTAGGTCATTCCACTGCAACCAATGCACAGACATTGGGTGCGGAAGATCACATCCGTTCCCGTGAGTGACTTGTACTCAAGGAACACTCAGGCGTATGCATTCTAAACGTCAATTCAATTCATGCATCCTCGTACGTTTAAATGGCTTCTGTATGGAGCGGACAAAACCAGAACCACTACTACAAACTCTCTCAACCTTGAGAGGTCAGAGAAAAGTGTTATCTGGATCCAAATTGCAAAATAAAATGCTACCCACCTGTTCCCCTCCCCCCCAAAAAAAGTATTTCTAATTAACCAGTGGCCACATTCCTGAGTCCCATGCTGTCAGAGTGGCATGCCTCACATTGCATGAATTACTCCTGTCCACAGCTCCCAACCTTCCCCAGCTAACGGGCGCTAGTGTGTGCCAGGGGTCATGGAATTGCAGACACTGTTTAGCTTAGACATCAGCCTGTCAGCCCTCATTGAAAGTTACATTCCAAAGATGTTCCTTATCATCCCATTACAGTTGTGACCTGCTGCAACCTACTGGGTTTGCTCCTTCCCCCAGCGAGTGGAGGGGGAGTTCTAATCACCCGTTTGCGTTGGATGGAAACTGAGCTGATTCTGTGTTTTGAGGGCAAAAAGGACCATCCTCTAATCTCACCTCCTGCATAAAGTCCTCCATGAAAAAGTCACCCAGGGATTCCTGCAGTGGAGGGAATTGTTACCACTCCAGTGTACTCTCAAGTCACTGCTTTATATCTCCTTTGAGCATCCCCCACCAGCAGCAGAGAGCCGTGCCTTCACCCAGCCCTGAGTCACCTTTGCCCACCTGCTTTCAGATGCTGCCTGTGGAGTTAGGTTATCAGCACAGTGCTCTTAGTCCTCTGGTTCCTAGACCAGCCCAGGAGGGGTTGTGTGGAGCACTTCATTAAAGCGCTGACACCTGTGAAGATGCACATGCCCATGACAACTCCTTGCTTCTGCCTGCACCACTACGCTACACCAGCTTCTCTCAACACTCGCCCTACGTCCCAGCTAAATGGAAGAAAGCAAAGGAGGAAGGAGGAGCGGAAGGAGAAAGTCAATTCCTTCACTCGCAAGTGCTCAAACCAACTGTTTCTTCACTGTACCTTGGCGAAAAGGCTATCGATCCTGGTAAACCAGGACACCACTACCCACCACTCATGAGATTCACTGGGTTAGATGTTGGTTACTATATCACCAGCAGACTCAACTGGAGACACCAGCCAGAACCCCTCCCATCACCACCTTCCAGATACCCAAGATAAAAGAACTCCCCAAAGATCTTTGGTGTCAGCACAATGACAGCATGTCAGCATTCACAAAGCATTGAAAACAAGGCATTATACAAAGAGAAGCTTGAGATGAGACCCCCCCACCAACTTTACAGCCTCACAAGTCAACCTATAGGATGCCCGTGTCCTCCACTTTAACAGGGACATGCTTTTGGGCTGGCATCTCCACCCACCCTGAAGAGGTGATGGTGCCCCCAAGCAGCAGGATAATGACCCATGAGCATTCTGATGGAACATCCTCATTGACACCAGCATAATGAGGGCTTTGAAAGCCAAAAGCATTTCATCTATAAAAGTGAAACAAGCCCATCCTCATGTCACACATGGACACATAAGCACACACAACACACTGGCTTGCAGTGGCCGGAAGACAAGCAAAAAACACAGATCCGGGGGAAGACTTGAGTGTCCACCTTCACAGTGGGGAGCCATACGGCCTGACCTGTGAAAAGGGAAGGTTATATCTGGGTAGACAACATTGGGGCAGCTGGAATTCAAGGCCTTCTCTCACTCGAACACGTCTGTGATCGATGGATTGGGTGAAGTAGCTAGATAAATCCAGATGCTTTGGGGTTCCTTCCAAGCACAGTAATCTGGTACTCCCATTTCCTCTCTTAACTCCCGTCACACTGCAGGGTACCACAAAGCTACGGAGGAAGAGTAAGGTAGAGCTGGGAAAGACGTAGGCCAAAAGACAATGGAGGCTCGTTATACATCAGGAAAAAGGGGGTGATATTTGTGGATTCTACTGGAAAAGTTCTTGGCCTTATTGCATGCCAGGACACTAGTCCATCTCCTAACCAGTACAGCATCATGCCTGTATATTACACCTCCATCAGCCATGGCATGAAGCCATCAGAATATTTAACGTTACTCCTCCTCCTAACTTTCAGGTGCCCTTGCTTGAGGGAGTTAGCCAGGCTGGCATTAGTGCCAGAAAAACCCACTTCTCTGAAGCCTGAAGTCACACAACCCCGCCCAAAAAAAAAAAAAAAAAAAAAAGTAGAAACAGACAACCAAAACTCCAACCCTGTTAGATGCACAGTGGGATAACCCCAGAGATCAGCAATCGACAGACTTCCGAGATATATGCACTGCACCGCTACAATGCGCCAGAAACAAAAACCAAGCAAACGAACCAAGAATGATACATCTGCACAAAACGATGAATGCGTAGAGATTTACAAAGCAGCACAAGGGATTTAGACACATTCCATTAATCAGGTGTGGCTAAACCCCCTAGACTGCTTTGAAAAAATCCATGTGCACCAATAAAGCTGGCGCTATCACTTGCTTTTCAGCTTTTAACACAAGTGGGTAAACTCCACTAACAGCATGGCACTTAGTCTCCCTCCCATGGCTAGATCACATACAGAGGTTTAATCGGTCCGCTTCTTCCCTTGAGTGAGCACAGCTGCTCCTTTAGCTCAGACAGAAGAGGCTCGTGCTTTTAGATCCAAAGTTCCTGGGCTCTGACTCTGCAGGCAGTGACCCATCCAGGAGCACAACTGGTTGGTCCAGATGTCCATGAACGGTTTTGGTTTCTCTAACATTTTAATTCCCCACTCAGTTCATAAAGGAAATATTTTGTTGCCTTCCCCCAGGCAGGTCCCGCTATTTCTGCGGCTGATCGTAAGAAGCTGTCGGCAGAACTAACATAAAACAATGCAAATTCCACCTCATTGTTAAAGGATCTCTGGTTAGGAAGATAAGCAAAGGAGGAACAGTTTAGGGATGAGTTCACCAGTCTGGATAAAATAAAAGTCCATCCAAACCCTTGCTCCAAACTGGAACCACATCTCTGAGGGGTGAAACATTTCACTGGCTTTTTCTCATTGTGTTTTGTTTTCAAACATCTACTCAGCACTTCTAGGTTCAGATGCAAGTTCAGAAAAACTGCAAGAAATGTTGGTCTTATTTCCAGCCCAGCTGGAAGCAGGATTTCTGATGCTCCTTGCAAGAAAGCCTTTCGGTGCACGACTACCCAGCTCACCTTTGCCTCAGCTTTGGATCAAGCATCTGAACTTATCCAGATGATCCCCCCACTCCCCAATTCCAAGCCGTAGGAAGTTTGTCCATTGGTAGCGAGCTTTCAGAGCACTGCAAGAATTATGACGACTTCATGGGGAGTTGAACTGTTTAAGAACTTCCCATGCAGAAATTTCTGCAATCCACAGGAGTGGCTAGAGTCTATGCAGACACCCAAAGGGTGATGTCAATGACATGTTTCAATTTCTCTGAAAAAGTAGTGTGAACACCCATCTTCCATGCCCAGAATAAGGACCTGCCTTTCCTCTTGATTCCAAGTTTTCCGCAGCATCTCAAGCATCATCTACACTGGGAGTTTGCCCCAATTCCAGCCCCTGGACTAGGTGAACTCAGGCAAACCACTAGGTCAAGCTACCACTTGTACTGGCCGAGCTCACCGCTCCTTGAAACTGAGGTAAACTGCACCAGCGCAAAGGTGTGGCTCGCAGTGCTTTACCCTATTCAGACTAAGGGCTCGGTGGAGCTGGGACACCGATAGCTGCAATCAGGGCAAAAATTCCCAGTGGAGACAAAGCCTAAATCTACAAGCCACCAGCTGTGGTTCACTTGTGAGGTCTCCCCTTTGTTACATCACCACCCAACAGTAACACAGCATTCAGGACTGCTGAGATCTGGCACAGTAGGACTTTCCACCAGGAAATAATAAGGGGAAGTCAGAGGGGCTGTTAATCTGTATTCAGGGATACAGTTTTTAGAAAGAGAGAACAGCAGAAAGGAAGTAGAGCCAAGTCTAGATAAAATGGAGGGAACCCTTAGCAACCCGTTTTAGCTTTTGGGAAAGTTGTTAGCTGGTAGGGCTCATGCTATCCTTGCAAGTTATTGATTCCCTCCCACAATCAAGTAGAATATTAATCAATGAGCATAAATGGTGTTTTGGTGGGACACACCAACATCCACTATGTTTCTCCCCCTCTGCAAATGCTCCAAACTAAGAACACTTCCTTCTGAGAAACCTATTATGCTGGTGCATGGCGGCAGAAGTAAACAAAAGGCAAACCCCTATAAATTCCTTGGGTGAAAGTCTGACCTCACTGAATTGCAAAACTCCCAGTGACTTCAACAGGGCCAGGATTTCTCCCATTCCATTTTATAACTGATTTAAAAAAAAAAAAAAGAAGCTACATTTTCAAACTTGGCATCTAAATTTGCAAAGCACCTGGAGATCTATGGATGGAAAGTGCCATAGAAGAGCGAGGCATTAACAACTGTGCACTTGCAACCTTGGCGTGCTCAGTGCCAGGTGTTTCCACATGCAACTGGAAAATGGGATTCTGTAAAAAAAGATTTTTAATCAGCTGTCTAAGTGATCTACCTAATTTGCACATACCGGGTGAAATTCAAAGGCCCAGAAACAGGCCTACATGCCACCACCGTCCCATGTAAGGCCCCAATTCAGGAAAGCACTTACACATGTGCTTCCTACTCAGGGCAGCATTAAATAGGGAGGTCATTTGTCTGCCTATGAACCAGGCAGTCCTTTTTTGAGGTGGTTTGTCCCCTGTCCGAGACAGGACTGGATGTGGTTTTGTCTGGTATCGGACGGGGGATGCCATAATTAAGTGCATGCTGTCCCCCCACCCCCGGCATGTCCTCACACAGACTGTACGTGCAAGGTCACGCTGGTGGGGCGGGGTGGCACGCTCTTCAAAATGGCAGCCTCCCGTGTGGCATGACCTTGCATGCAAAGTCATGTGGAGGGGATGGGTGCCATGCAGGTGGTGGTAGGCCCAAACTGTGCCCAGAAGTCTTGGAATGTCTGATATTCTGGGCACGTGTGATTGGCCCCATAGCATTAAAAGGTGCGTAACTCTCAAAATGTCCTCAAGGCCAACTGACTGGGATTTAAGCACGTGCTTAAGAGCTGACCTAATTAGGGCCCTAAGACCTCATAACAGGGCTTTGTGGGGGACTTAAGCAGTAGTCCTCTGCACAGGGCTCGATGTCACTTCGAGTGACTTGTGGCTCATGCAATGTGTAAGTTATTGCGAAGGCCAATCGGGAGGCTGTTCAGTTACAAGTTAGCGCTAAAGTTCAGTGATCCCACTGGCCTCCAACAAACCAAGACTTAAGTAAAACCATCAGCTCAGAGGATTTGAGGGGAGCCATGTCAGAAATCCTGACTTGTGGGAAGAACGGCTTCCCCCATTTTATTTGGGGTCCTTCGACCCACATGGCTCTTTTAAAGAACCTCAAATTTTGCACCCATGGGAAGGAAAAAAACAAACCAACATCCATCAAAATCCTGCAAGGAGGAGAAAAGATAAAAGAAGCAACAAGGAGGAGAGAAGGAAATGAACCAGAAAGGTTTTAAACATGGTTAAAGATGCAACAGCTTTAAAAGAAACAAATGGCCTCTCCACCCTGCCCCCGAATCGAGACAAGGAACCATTGGGCCAAGTCAAGGATTAAAGAGGAAGAGAGAGAACAGGTTGCGTTAGGTCGATGCAAGTGCTCTCTTGTGGTTATTAGGAAGTCATGCATTGTAATAGAGACTATCACTCACTGCCCGCAGTAGGAGATGCAGCAGCAGCAGCAGCAGAAGTGGTGGGAGTGGAATTGACGGAGGAAAGAGCTACATGGGTTGGGCTAGAAACATGTTTTACATCGTGGTGCTGGCTCACGATGGAAGGCTGTCTCCTGAGGGCTCCCTGTAAAGAGGAGGCGCCGGTCTGGAATGTGTAAACTACGTCCATCTGTAAAGAATCAGAGAGTGAGATAGCTTCGCCCCACAGTCAGAGACCAAGAGGAATGGGGGGTGGGAAGGAGGGGAGGCTGGGCAGACAGGGACAGACACAAACAGACGATAAGGAAGAGAGGATGGAGGTGGGCAGGGAGAAGAAAGGAAAAACCCATTTCAGATTACATTCCCGTAAATACAGTTTTGGCAGGTGATCCAAAAGCAAAGACATGGAGCAAAGATTAGACGTTAGCTTTCAGCCTTTCCCTTCCCTCCTCTCTCTCTCTCTCTCTCTAGAGTTTGCATCAGATGCAATCTTTACAGACCCAAAGGGGTGGGGGCAGTCAGGGGAAAGGATCTAGTACATAAAGGCAACGTGCAGGAGGTGTGGAAAGAGAGAGAGGGGGTAGGGGGGTGTAGGTGTGAGCTGGCAACTGATACACAAAGTGCAGCCTGTATTCTAGAAAACTGCAATGGGATAGAAAAACATTTCCAATCAGTCATGTCTTTCATTGGACTGAGTAAGGGGCTGACTCCAGAAACACGCCAAGCGGCCACAACTTCCACTAAAGCCAAACGGGCTCACAGATGCTCAGCACTTCTCTCAGGATCAGGCCCTGAACCACACAGTGATTTATGCAAATGCCCTAAATATAAAGAACAAAGAAACAAAAACCATCAGCTATGAAATAAGGAAGCAGCCGCAGTGTCAGTTTGCAGACACATTCCAAGGAAGGTAGCTCAGAGCAGTAGCCAGTTACACCTAGGGATTTACACAGCTCTGAATTTTCACTCTCCTAGCTATCTCTTGTCCACACAGGTAGAACCAGGAGGCTACGTGTTCTTGCAGTTTCCTTGTGTTTCTGGCCACTGCCCTGGTCACATGATCCTTATTAAAAAGGCCTCCCCCAGGAACGGCACGCAGCTTCCCAGACCATCCCAGTGGGTATTCCGTGCACAGCTTTGCCATTTCCTTGTTTCATTCTCATATTGTGATGCAGGAATGTTTTCCTGCGATCGGCAAGGGCAATCGTGAAAGAATCCCCGCCATTTCCCTTTAAGGCACATGTATTTAGGACACTCTCCTGGAAGCCTAGAACTCCAGGGTTTTGATCTCCAGGCTGGTTTGCTAGGATTTGCAGGACAGACATGATGCTGGAAAGATCCCAGGGCTTTGCATAGTGTTGCAATAGCAAGCAGCATTTTTCATGAGGCAAGAACGCAAAGCTTCATAAGTAAACTGGTTCCAGTATGGACTCGTTGGGCACCACATGGTGGCTACTGGTATTGCTACCTCATTCTTCTTATTGGTTTGGAGACAGCGCCTAGAACCTGTATCACCACATTACAGAAATTTCTACCTACCATCCTCCGGCAAGTCTGGATCGTTCTTGTAACGGCATTGTATTCCCAAAAGCGTTATCATGCTGCTTGAGAAATTAGCAAGCACAACCAGTGTCCCAATGACCAGCAACATCTGACCCCAACAGAATCGGTTTTCCCCATATCCCACTGCAAAAATAACCTTCAGCCTGGCCGATACAAGCCAGCACCAAAGCTTAAAAGAATAGGAACAAAGACGACAAAAATCACATGTTGGCTTCAGTCATGTGTACCCCCCGGCTCGTGTTTTCACACACAACTCACAGTGACCTCAATGTGGGCCATGCTCCAATATTTTTTTAAAACCACATACATGTGGCTTTAGTGTGGATCACATGCATTTCCTATGTGCTGCAAAAAAAAGTGTCACACCTAAGGCTGTATGAACCATAAGTTCAATGGGTGAAGTAGGACTTGTATGCGAATCCCATGTGGGCACATCTCCCAGTCCAATGGACTTAGGGACCTTTTGCTGGTTGGCCACTGTTATGGAAGGGGGAACCTGCACTGAAACAGTGACCAAGCTTCACGAATCCAACGTGCACAAGAATACTGAGGCCTCATCTCGGCACCTCCATTCCATGAAGTGCCCCCAGCCCCCTCTTTCCCTCATTTCTTTGAAATGCAGCCACCCTAAAATTCTCATTCCAAGTGTGTTGCATGATTCTGAAACATGCAAAACAACATGGCTCCTTCCTTATCCCTTGTACATTTAACAATCGGATGGTAACTCTGGCAGGGTCCCCAGGCAGGAGGAGTGGAGGTGGTCAGATTGGTATCTTCACATTCAGAAACCTCTAGTAGCCTTTGTGGTGGAAAGAAAAGGTGAACATGAGGTGGGGGTGTTTGCTTGCTTTGGGTAGGGAAGAAGAAACCACTGTACAAAGCCAGGAGGATATAGCCTGGCAGATATGGGTCTCAGGAGACATTTTTTCTTGGGTTTATCATATTTCCCATGTGCCACACATGGACTTACTCTGCCTTGCAGATATTGCCCAGAGCTCCCACCCGAATGACCCCGCCCCCCGGAGGAATTTCACTTTGAAATTCCCACCGGACTCAGACGCCAGAGGGAAGCATCCGCAGCCCCTCAGAACCTGCTCTGGTAAAGCAGGGTTTTGACAAAGGCAGAAGAGTTAGGAAGGAAAAATAAATGTGTGACAATAACCAAAGGCAGCTCAGCCGTTATCCCACTCCCTTCAATAACTCCCTTCCCCCTTGTGTCTCATCACTGGGTTCTGGCTCCTGGGAACCGGGTAAAGAGCAAAGGGAAACCGAAGGACTGGCCCTTGCTGTGCCTATGAGGCTGTAGTGGTAGGGAGCAGACAGACTCCTCCAGCCAGGTAAGTTTCCCAGAGGCCTTTGAGGAAGACACTTTCAGACTATCAAATTCCTCCCCCTCCCCCCCTCCCCAAGACTTGTTTAGCTGGAGCCAGAGCAATGGCGATGCTCCAGGTCGACAGATGCTGGGCCTCCCTCAAGGGGCTGCTATTCCCAGCCGGACGTCTCATGTTATTAGGCAACTGCCCAATCTGCAGCCAGGACGCCGGAGGGTAGGGGAAGAACAGACGGGCCAACACAAGGGAAATACCCAGAGGAGACGAGGAGATGGAATGAACTTGCCACTTGCAGAAGAGCGGGGATTCACTGTTCCTCACATCCACGCTGAATTCACGAGCTTCCTAGCACGGCATTTGAGCCAGGAAAGCAAGGAGGAGAGCCCGTTGAAAGGGGCTGGCAGTGCTGGGAGCATGCTTCAGGAGCTTGCAAGTGACTGGGCATGGCATTCCTCACTTTGGCCTTTGCCGCCCGCCTCTTCACCCCCAGCCTTGTACCTTCCCAGTGTGGGGCAGGAGGTGAGAGGGACAGAGAAAGCCTCCATCAGCATGAAGTAGAGGGGGCTCTGGAGGCAGGGAGAGGACCGTTAACAAGAGAAATATTGAGAAGGGAACGGCTGGTAGAGAAATGTGAGCAGCTCATGTACATGGTGTATTCTTCAGGATGAGACGCTTCCTTTCAGGGGGAAAAAGCAGAGGAGGGTCCCAAGGACAAATATGCTCTTCGGCAAAAACAATTAAAAAAAAAACGTCAGTGAGGTTTTTAAAACTGCAATGGAAAAACTATTAAAGAAACCAAAACCAGGCTTCTTTTCCTCATACAATTCTCCTTCCCTTGTAGCTACAGCACGAGGGACAGTAGATAAAGAAGAGAGGACCCACGAGCGGGGACTTATCAGGAGACTGGGGGAGCAGCAGGGAAGAAGATAAATAAAACCAAGGGGGAGGGAGTGTGAAAAGTCACCGTGGTCCGGGCCACCACCACGGTGCTCTGGCCGCCTTCGCAAGAGACCGTGTTGGCTCCAGCGAGGCGAAAGCCAACACGCCTCTGGCTCAGCCAATAATTCTTGTGCAACAGCTGATCGAGGCCAGTGGGCATTCAGCTGGCAAGGAAGACCCCCAACTTCCGAGATGGGAATTCAAGAGTGGCAAGTCCCAACAAGCAGCTCTGCTACTCCACCAAACTAAGCCAGCCTGGCTCTCTGCTGAGCTGGGGCTGCTGTCCTCATCTTGAGCCTTGGGGTTGAAACGGCTCAATCCAAAGGCCACTGAAGTCAATGGGAAGAGGACAGGTGGGGAAGGGAAAGGGGTGGAGCTCTGATCCCTATCGAATGGGATTCACACACCTGCAACGTAGAAACAAGGAGAGAACCTGGGTGCTAAATGCCCCATCTCCCGCAGCGTATTCAACTCCATCCCGAATGCAGGCAGACGGGCGTTCCTAGAGCAGGATCTTTCATCAGGGCTTGGCTAAGGCTGCCCAGCAGTTACTTCCCACTAGGGGAGCAGCAATCCTGCAGACGATGCTTAGAAAAAGGCTGAATAATATCCATCCAGCTGCACCATCTACGGTTACATGGTCACCTGCCCAAGCCCCGTTAACACCGAGGGCCATGCAGCTCTGAGCCCCTCCCCCCACAGCTTTGAAGATTCCCCCCCGCCCCCCCAGTAGCTACAACCCCTACTCTCATTGTAGCCCCGGCCCCACTGGGAAGCAGGCATGCTGTGCACACGCGGCTAAGCAGCAGTGCATGCCCACAAGCCTGGCTCGCTGATCGGCGTTAACCCAGAAAGCCACTGGCAGTGGGAATTCTAGACCCTGGAGGGGCTGAAGTGTTACGGTGGCCACAAGGAGCTGCACAGGTAACAGGAGGGCCCTAGATCACTTCGGCCAGGGCCCCTGGGAGAACAGGAAGTGGCACCTCAGTGCCCAACACGATACCTGAGTCTGTATCCTGTTGAGGCCCCTGAACCACAGAATCTGCCCCCGCCGCAGCTCCATTTCAGCATGGTCAATCTCATCCATGTCCTCCGGCAGGTCCTCCTCTGGAATATCCTCCTTGGTGGTACCGTGTCCGGCTTCCTTCAGGAACTTCAGCTGGCTGGTCGGAACACTGCAGATCAGCTACAGAGACACGGGGACCCATGGGTTAATCCCTCGCCATCATCTGTACCAATGGAGCTGCTTCCTCATCCCGGGGACGCGACATCTTTGCTCCCCATCCCCCAAGAGTCCCCCCATCAGTATTGCTCAGGCTGGCTCGCCTGTGGCTCTGAGCTGCTCACAAGGCAGTAGTTAAAAAGAGGGAGAGCCCTCATCTGCCAGCCTAGAGCAGCACTCCCTCCAACTCCCCCAGGATATTTATGAGGGAGGAGGAGGAGTGGGGCGGGGGAAGAGAAGATGTTCGTCTCACAGCACCAGCCAGAGGACGGAGAGCTCTCCCTCTGTTTTTAGCAAAAGGAAGCAAGCTATGCTTGGGGGGGGGGAGGGGGTAGGGAGAAGAGGGGGGCTTTAACTCCTGAATACATAGAATCATAAGACTGGAAGGGACCTCGAGAGATCATCTAGTCCAGTCCCCTGCACTCGTGGCAGGACTAAGTATTATACACGTGTACATGCAGAGTGATAAGATGTTTCCATCGGGGGCGGTGGGTTTGGAAATACACAGCGGGGGTGGGGTCATCAGCCCAGCCCTCACCTGGCCCCAAAGTAGCTCTCCAACACCGATAAAGATGCACCAGAGCCACTGGCTCAAGGTGAGCCCGGAGCAGCTGAACGGCTTCCCACCAAACTCCACGATGAGGATCTGCAGCGCAGGAGAGAAGAGCACACGCCGCGGGGCTGTTAGAGGGGACACGCAGTCAGAGAGGTCTCGTGGCATTTGGGAGTCTCTTCCTCCTCAAGCGGCCGGTTCAGGATGTTTTCAGTGTCACTGGGTGCACGACAGCAAAGCTACAACTTGGGGGGCTGGAAAATGCTAAGAATTTCCCACCAAAGGCATCTGAAGGGAAATTAAGTATTTGCCCCTTGAAAACGTTCAGTTTTGCTATGCCACATCACTTCCATTAAAAAAAAAAAAAAAAGTTTTCAGCAACTGGTTTTCATTGAAAAACCGGAAAATTTCAAAACAAAAACTGACATTTACATAAAAGGCTGTTTCTCACCGGGAAAAAATTTTCACCATAGGAAGATTTTGACTAGTTCTCCTAATCTCGTTCCAGTTTGCACCCGGGTCAGGCCAGTATATTGGAGCAGGTATCTCATTCAGACCCAAAAAAGGGTCAAAGAAACCACAACAACTTCCCTCTCCTTGTGCTTTATCCTCTCATATCCCAGTGTCGCGACACCGAGCAAAGGGCATTGTCTGGACAGCTCTGGAAACCCGCTCTACAATAAATGCTCTTTGCAGCAGAGCTCCCCAGATGCTGCGAGATGAGGCTTCTGCGCCACGCACCCAGCCACTCAAATTTTCCCCATCTCAAAAGGGAGTGGCAGGCTTAACTAGGCACACGCCAAGCGTTTTTACTGAAAAAAGGACCAAATTAACATCCCAGGCAGCGGCTTGTACAGGATGTGCAATTCAGAGCTGTAAAACGCCAAACCCCAGAGCAACAGAATGGAAACTCTGTGTGCTCATCCAGGTCAGCATCTGGGTTCTGGCTCTTGGGAGCCGGGTAAAGAACAAAGGGAAACCAAAGGACTGGCCCTTGCTGTGCCTATGAGGCTGTAGTGGTAGGGAGCAGACAGACTCCTCCAGCCAGGTAAGTTTCCCAGTTTTCAAGGTCATTTCTAGCTCTATCACCGTAGTATCGGAGGAGCTCATAAGCATTAATGCAATTATCCTTGCAACACCCTGCAAGGTAAGGAAGGACTATTATCTCCATTTACAGGTGGGGAACTGAGGCACACAGAGGCTAAGAAACTTGCCCAAGGTCACAAAGGGTGTCTGTGGCAGAGCAGAGAATCAAACCCCACTCTCCTGAGATCCCCATCCTTCCTCTCTTCAGTACGCACTACCTATCTCTCATCCACACGCACCCACGCTGCTCTCAGTGCCCGTTGCTGTTACCTGGGCAGCAAAGGTTCCCAGCACCACCGTGCAGAAGATGGGATTCCGGAAGATGGCATCAAAGACGTTCCTCTCGCCATGAATCTTGCGAGCGTTGATCTCGTTGAACAGCTGCATCATGACGAAGGTGTTGAAGACAATGGTGTAGTGTTCAGAGGGCGGCGAGTGCAGCGGCGTGTTCCGGCCACTGTCAATATCAAAGAACTTCTCGCCTACCAGACAGGAGGTGAAAGAGAAAGTTTGTGCGTCTTTTCCCTGCCCCTTCACGCGTAACCTGGAATTTGAACCAACACTGCAGGACGAGCAGGGTTGTTGCAACCGTGTTGGTCCCACGATTAGAGAGAGACAAAGCAAGGGGAGGTAATACCTTTTATCAGCCCATGGTTCCTACACATGCCTATCACCTCACCCAGTGCACTAAATGCTCCAATAGCAACTGTGTAGGTGACACCAGACCATCACTACACTCTCAAATGAACTCACACAGGAAAACGATAACACTACATCACCTGTGGGTGACCACTTTTCACAAAGCGATCACTGTATCGGTCCTCGTCCTCAAAGGAAACCTGCACAACACCTTGAAAAGAAGAGCCTGTGTGTTTAAGTTCACTACTCTGCTAGACACTAAAAATCATGGACAGAATAGAAACACTGAATTTATGGCATATGCCAACAATCTGTAACCCACTGACACCCCCCCCTCTGCCCAGCTATTTCCCCCCACCCCCTCCTTCTCCACCCTATATCCCTCCAGTCATAAACAGGCCACTTCACCTTGAATGGTCCCTTGAAATGTGTTAACTACTTATGCTAAACAATCTGTTCCACCTCAAATTTAGCAGGGACGCTGAGGCTATGTGTACACTACAGATTTCTTCGGTATAATTTATGTCGCTCGGGGTGTGAATAATACACACCTCTGAGTGATGTGCACCGGTGCAGACAGCGCAGTCGGCAGGAGAACTTCTCCCATAGCTACCGTCTCTTATGGAGGCAGGAGTCATTAAGCTGACTGGAGAGCTCTCCCCCGTTGGCTTAGAGAGTCTTCACCAAAAGTGCGTTGTGAGTGATATACTGTAGACATAGCCCGAGTCAGTTTCCCAGCCCTGAAGAAGAGCTCTGTGTAGCTTGAAAGCATCTCTCTCCCCAACAGAAGTTGGTCCAATAAAAGATAGGACCTTCCCCCACTTTGGCTTTCTAATTGCAGGAGGAGCTTGATTATGGAAACACGGGGGGATGGACTAAGGGAATGTGGAGAAACAGATGCCCGTCTCAGCATGACCGAGGGCACCAGCAAAGTGCAGGGCATCATGGATAAGCCAGGCAGAGCCCATTCAGACATCTGCGAGGATATGTCCCCGCGTTGGGCCCTGCCAGAGGCACTGGAGGTCTTTAAGCAGATGGGAATTTAATGCCGGACAGGCAGCCAGAGATAGCCATGTCCTCCCTTCGTCCCAAGAGGATCATCAGCAGCAGCTTCCTTCCCCCACCTCATGCTGCCCTCTGCCGTCCCCGACATGAAGCTGCCACCTCGGGGAGCTGAGCGCCCATTGGGTTCTCGGCCTACGTGCTGAGGCGGCCAAGGAGGGAGGCCATTTAGAACAGGCAGTAGCTGCGGTTTGTGTTGTGGATGCTGACTCTCTTGGAATTAGACCGAGTCCCACCCAGCAGCCACTTGCAGTCGCTGCAGAGCAGGGCCAGAACTGAACGACTGACCTAGACTTTTAAGGTCCTATGAGCCATTACGAATCCCGGGAGCCAATCCATCTCCAGCAGCAAAAAAAAAAAGAAGTGTTCATTTCATTAACCCTTTACTTAGTAGAGAGCTGAAAGGAGCCACTTCCTTGGATACAGTGTGAGCTCTGCACCTAGTAGATTCTGGTGCAGACAATGTGATTCACTGAACTGGGGTCACTGTAGGTGGGCACATGCCCAGCTTGATTAGATAGCAGCCTGCCTGGATTTACACCTCACTGGTTTAGAGGCAGAGGGGGTGGCTGGTGTGGAGGTTCTCCCTCCCCTATGGCCTCAGACTCACCTGCAAAGAGCAGCGTGAAGATGATGGTGAGCTGGTACACCGCGTGCCCCAGGATGTTCTTCATCATGGTGCGGGAGATCAGGGGCTTGTTGCGGCCGTACGGCCGACGCAGCAGCAGGGACTCTGAGGGGGGCTCTGTGGCAAGGGCTAAGGACGCAAAGGTGTCCATGATCAAGTTCACCCACAGCATCTGGACGGCCTTCAGCGGAGAGTCCTGCAGAGGGAGAAGAATCCCCCATGGAGAACGTGGTCTCTTCACTCAATACATAAAACCACCACCACTGCCTTTGCCGTTCTGTGGCTCCTCACCGGACACTTTGCCATGATTATTTTAACCACAATCCTCCCATCACAAAATATCATTATCCCCCCATTTGACAGAGATTAAATGATTTGCCCTAGGTCTCATGGTGAGTCAGCAGCCAAACCAAGGATTCCTGGCTTCAAGCCCCATCCAGTTCTAAGCACTAGGTTGCTCCCCAAGCCTCCCTACCTGTGTGATGCAGGCCCCTGTGAAAGCGACAATGACCGCCACCACGTTGACGGTCAGCTGGAACTGCAGGAACTTGGAGATGCTGTCATATACGTTGCGGCCCCACATCACTGCCTTGACGATGCTGGTGAAGTTGTCGTCTGTCAGGATGATGTCTGAAGCCTCTTTGGCCACGTCCGTGCCTGCGATGCCCTTGAGGGGAAACAGAGTGGAGAAGAGGGTGGCAATGAGTCATAAGAACATAAGATCGGCCATACTGGGTCAGACCAAAGACCCATCTAGCCCAACATCCTGCCTTCTGCCAGTGGCCAGTGCAAGGTGCCTCAGAGGGAATGAGCAGAACAGGTAATCAACTGATCCATCCTGTCGCCCATTCCCAGCTTCTGGCAAACAGAGGCTAGAGACACTATCCCTGCCCATCTTGGCTAATAGCCATTGATGGACCTGTCCTCCATGAACTTATCTAGTTCTTTTTGGAACCCTGTTATAGTCTTGGCCTTCACAACATCCTCTGGCAAGGAGCTCCACAGGTTGGCTGTGCGTTGTGTGAAAAAAATACTCTTTTGTTTGTTTTAAACCCTCTGCCTATTAATTTCATTTGATGACCCCTAGTTCTTGTGTTATGAGAAGGAGTCAATAACACTTCCTTATTTACTTTCTCCACGCCAGTCATGATTTTATAGACCTCTATCATATCCCCCCTTAGTCGTCTCTTTCCCAAGTTGAAAAGTCCCAGTCTTATTACTCTCTCCTCATACGGCAGCCATTCCGTACCCCTAATCATTTTTGTTGCCTTTTTCTGAACCTTTTCTAATTCCAATATAGCTATTTTGAGATGGGGCGACGACATCTGCACGCAGTATTCAAGATGCAGGCGTACCTTGGATTTATATAAGGGCAATATGATATTTTCTGTTTTATCATCTATCCCTTTCTTAAGGATTCCCAACATTGTTTGCTTTTTTGACTGCTGCTGCACATTGAGTGGATGGTTTCAGAGAACTATTCACAATGACTCCAAGATGTCTTTCTTGAGTGGTAACAGCTAATTTAGACCCATCGTTTTATATGTATAGTTGGGGGTCACTGGGCAAACTGTCCATCTCCCCACACCAGTGCTCTGCTTCTTTCCAGAGACAGGCCTGTCTCACAACGCCGACAAGCCTTGGAGGTTTGGATCCAGATCAGACTAGGCCCGCCTCCATCTTTACAGGACACCCTCTATGCTTGGAACAGCTTCCTACGTCCCATGCACCAAGCACCTTCCTTCCCATGTGGGAACAGCAGGCTGTCAATTCTGGTGGTGGATCCCCTGCCAGCATCTCTTACTACACAGAGTGCTGAAAGGGAGCAGACAGCAATAGTAGTAACAATACTGCTGAGCATGCAAACGCTTTCCATCTGTGGATCGCAAAGCGTTAGACAAAGGCAGCTCAGTGGCATCGCCCCCATCTTACGGAGGAGCAAAATGAGGTACACGGGAGGGGATGTAACTCGCGGAAGGTCACGCAGGTCAGAGGCAGAGTTGGAACAGAACGCTGGGCTCTCTCATCCCAGGACTGTGTCCTCAACACTGGGTCATGCTGCCTGCTGTTACACCTCAGTAAAGGAACAGAAGCATTTGCTTTAGGGTTGATTTGCCTCCAAACTGGGGCTTTACAGTGGTGAGTGCATAGAATATTGAACCATCTTGTGACTCCCTCCTCGAGCCCTTGGCATGCTGCTGCCCTAGCAGGAGGCTCGTGGGCCTTCGGAGGTTAATGCTATGGCTAATAGCCACACAAAGTAGCTTAAAAATAGCTGTTTCCCCTCCATCCTTTTTGCTAAACATTCATACAAACAGAGACCGCTGGGATTCAGAAGTGCTCTCTCTCTCTCTGGTAGGGAGCTCCAAAGGAACAGATGGGCTTCCCCCCAAAATTGCACCCAATATAGTTCATTTGCTGGTAAAGGTCTCGGAGGATTACTCTCCCCTGTGTTTGTCACTTCCCCCTGCTCCTCTGGTCTTAATTTAGGCTGTAATCCGGCAATAAGCACCAAACGGAGGTGGACCCCTGTGCCCACTGCTATCTCTCCGGGGCACAGACTCCCTCTGTTTGTTTTGCAAAGTGCCACATACATCTAAGGCACTATACAATGGACATTTAAAAGTGATCAGGCTGCAGTAATCAGTAGTGGGCACTAGACGGTGCTCAGTTTGCAGAAATGCTGCCATTGCCAGGAGATGTGTTAAGTGGGAGCCGCTTAACCATTTTCCCTAATGTTCTCCTGCTGGGTCCTGTTGAGCCTGGGTATTGGGAGATTCTGTCCCTAGCTGTGAATTCCCTGGTTTTGGTAGGAGGGCAAACGTGAAACTGAATTTTGACCATGTTGTTTGTTTCCCAGTCTCCAGAGTCCATAGTCAGAGAGATGCAGTAAAGGGCCCTTAGTTTCCTGTTCCTGTGGGAAAGTCTATCCCCAGACTGCAGCAGGACAGTCCTTCTTTTCAATTCTCAGCACAACATTCAGCCCCAAAAGGACGGGTCACCAGATTTCAGCACCCGATCCAGTCACCTCTCCAGTTGTGGAACTCCCGTGTCCAGCATGCAGATTCAAGACCTTAGTTTTAGCCAGCGATCAAGTCCATTGCTTGGACTAAATCAATGAGTGAGAGAAAGAGAAAATGTCGATGTTGCAGGGGCTCTGGAGGATTAAATGGGACTGCAAACCCTTTAAAATCCAAGGCCTGCAAAATGGCTTCCAACAGATCTTTGTTTAAAAAAATTTGAAAAGGAATTTGTTTAAACATACATACATTCCTCTGTAGTGGCTGCAACCCAAACATTGCGGCCTTATGCTAGTGTACCAGAACCTGAACATAAAACTGACTACAAACAAGGGAAAATGACCAGAAATGCAAAAAAGTAGGCAAACAGAGTTAACAGCAAAGAGTGAACTAGATTTTCAAATTCTTTCTGGGTAAATAAGCGAATGCATTAATCATAAAGATAAGAAAGATCTGGGGCTGTTTATTTTAAGTTTGGGTCAGTAACTCCAGGCCTGGGTCCTTTAAGTCAGGCTCCTAAATACATGTGGCTGATTTGCAGAGGTGCTGAACATCTGCACCTACCATTGTCCCTATCATATATGAAAACCAGGCTGTTTATTTAGGTGCCTATGTATGGGTTTAGGACATTAGCTTTCAGCAGCCACGTTTGAAAGTTAAGGCCATGATTCTTAATCTGACAATATCCCTTTAAGAACGTAAAAGGAGGGAGGGTCTGTCTTTAAGCCAGGATAAGAGGATTGTTTCTCAGCATGGGATATTTTCCAGGACCCTTGTGGCAAAAATCCTATAGCACTTAATCAAAAATTTTGCAGGGAGGTGATAGTTTTGTAACCATCCTATGGAATTTAATAGAGAATTTTATAGCAGGGATAAAATTCTATAGGATGATTAAAATGATCTCTTGTATTACATCCTGTGAGCCTTTGAGTGATTCCTATACCACATAAAGGTTTCCATTCCTCTTCAAATCCATAGGATGTTTCCTAACAATGCAGCACACAGAGAAAGACCCTTGTTCTTCCATACCATAGCAAAGCCAACATCAGCTTTCTTCAAGGCTGGGCCATCATTGGTCCCATCCCCAGTCACGGCCACCACCTGCCGCCGCTCTCCGACAGTGCTGTCAATAATTCCTGAAACACAGACACAGGGTTCAAAGGAAACAGGCCCCAGCATGGGCTCCTTGCACAGATGGAGCTGCACTGGGTAGCAGTTGGCCTGGGAATCATTAGATCTGCACGAAGTGGCAACGATACAACAGTGGCATGTCTTCTCTTAATGCGGACACCTGTCAGCCACTGAATATTGCCGGGCTGCCTCTCTCCTTGGGGACAGGCACTGTTTTAAGACTCATCCAGCATCTCTTCTGGCAAGGGTGCTGGAACTATTTATATTGGGGGGTGGGGGGGTGCTGAGAGCCATTGAACCAAACTATCAACCCTGTATATGAAGGAAACCACTTCAAGCCAGGGGGTGCAGCTGCACCCCCAGCACCTCCGGCAGGATACTGCTGATACTTCACCCTTCCAGATCACCTTCCCTGCAAGGATCTCAGTCCTTAAGCCTTACTGCCCCCCTAGGAAGATGATCAGCACCAATTAGCCTTGTTATACAGATGGGGAAAAAAAAATGTGAGGCACAAGGGACGATAGGGGAAAAAAGCATCTTGCTCTAAGTCACAGTGAGTCAATGGCAGAGCTGGAAAAAGAACACAGGAGTCCTGGCTCGATGTTTCGTACCTTGTGGGCATTTGTGCAGGAGCATGTGTGCTGGCTCTCCAATTGCCCTTACCTTTCACAAGCGTATGCTTATCCGTGGGGGAGGAACGGGCCAGGACTCGCAGCTTGGGCCAGACTTTATCCAGCTGCTCTTGCTCCACCTGCAGGACCAACCAAGAGAGAGACGTTGAGTCGGTCACCTGGCCAGGCAGGCGTTTGAAAACTGGAGCCGAGTGAATCATTGATTACTCGATTCGCTGGCCGAAAAGAAAAACTGAAAAACAAACTATTCAGTGTGGGTCCAAAAGGTTTAGTTTAGTTTTCGGGTGTGGAGTTTTTTTCCCCTAGCTCGATTTGAAAACACGAAGACAAAACGGTTCATTTAGCAAAAATATCCAATTAAAATACACCGCTACCCCGATATAACGCGAGCCGATATAACAAGAATTCGGATATAACGCGGTAAAGCAGTGCTCCGGGGGGCGGGGCTGCGCACTCCGGCGGATCAAAGCAAGTTCGATATAACGCGGTTTCACCTATAATGCGGTAAGATTTTTTGGCTCCCGAGAACAGCGTTATATCGAGATAGAGATATAGTTCGACTTTTTCCAAAAAGTTTCCCTCCTTTTTTCCCTCCAGCTGAAATGATAGGCGGAATTTGACCCAAACTCTTGAACAGTTTCGGTCAACCTGAAACGGCATTTTTCAGTGAATAAACTAGTCACTGAAAAATTTTGTCCAGCTCTATTGAGAGCAAAGGATCATTCGGTCGGGCAGGATGGGGAGTGAGAACTGGATGTTCCCTTCACCTCAACTCAACTGTTTCTCCCACGGCATGTCTAGAGCCCAGGCGTCCTCCAGGGGTCACTGATCCCTGGCCAAGCTGGCTAGGAGCCCCAGCTGATGTTAGCTGAGCTGACAGCTCTCCATGACAAGCACCCAAAGCATTAAAAACCCAGCTAGATCCAGCTCAGTTTTGGTCCAAGAGGCCACGTATTAGGCAGGAGCAAGAGGCTACCTCCATATGCTGCACTTCCAGGTCTACGGTTCGGAGCTAACAGCACCCTTTGTCAGCAGGCTACGCTTCTGAAGATGCCCCTGGAGTCCATTGCCCAGGGCCCCTGAGTGACTCATACAGAGGCAGGGTCCCTTATCTGTATTCCTACCTCTCCCTTCTCATTCCGGATGAGCCGGTTGAACTCCTTGCCCTCCATGCACAGGAAGTCCTCCCCGGGCAGCAGGATGCCGCACTTGGTAGCGATGGCGCGGGCGGTGTTGATGTTGTCACCTGTCACCATGCGGACGGTGATGCCAGCACGCTGGCACTTCACGATGGCCTCTGGCACCTAAGGGCAAGGTCAGAGAGAGAGAGAGAGAGACACTGTGGGAAAGAGACAGCCGAGGGGGAGGAGGGGGAAGAGAGACAACCGGAAAAAAGAGGAGCTGGGGAAAAACAAACCCATAGGGTCAGACAGACTCAAGGAGCCCCACCTGGACAGCATGAATGGGGGGATGGGGGTAACGGGCACTGGCACAGAAACGCTGGCCTACAAGGGACATGCTAGCAGCTGTGATGCAGCAGGAGGCCTCCCTGGGAATGAGGGGCAGATTAAGGCAGGATTGCTGGAATCCTGGCCAGCAGCGAGCCAGGGCAAATTGAAGAGCAGCGTCTGGGAAAGTTGGGTGTGCGAGGGAGCTGGGAAGAGCCCATCCAGGGAGAAGGTCCAGGGGATGAAGATCAAGGAGCCCAGGGTGGGCCTGAGAGATGTTTTGAGGGCATTGGAGCAGGAGGTTCGTTCGAGTTTTGGTGAATTCAGGCCTCATTTGGTCCCAGTAGACCGCTGGGCTGGGCCGGCCACTGACAGCAGGATCACGCAGAGGGATGCTGCGTAGGGTGGAAGGCTCAGGGCAGCCTGGGAGGACGGCCCCAGATAGAGTAATCCCCAAGAACTAGAGATCAGGAAGGACCAAAGTCCTGCTTCTATACCTTGTCCTCCAAGCCCATGGGGTGGCTGATTCGGCACTAGCCCCCTGGAGTCAAGAACCAGGCGGCGGCTAACTCGAGGGCAGGGCGGAGAGTCTCCATCTTGCTCCACAGGAGCAGGGAGGCGGGGCATGGCGACTCGGGTCTATGGAGCCCAGACGCTGTGGCGAAGGGCACTTTAGAAGAACAGAGAAGCACTGGAACCCCATCGTACCAGGCTGCGCACAGGGGACTCAAGTTACTGAGAGTTTGGCAGGAGCCGGCTCACTTCTAAGCTCGGTGTAGGAGGCGCTGGCTGAGCAGTTCTGAACCAAGTAGCTCGTTCTCTCCACGGTTCTAGGAGGTCTGTTCAGAGCCATTCCTGGAATTGGCTGTGGTGCCGTTCCTCTACTGCCCCCAGGGAGACGTAACCTCATTGTCTCCTCCACACAATGCCACAGCGCTCAGGAACCTCCGGTGCTGAGGTACGGATGAGCAATCCAATCAAGACGTGGGACGTTTTATTTCTCCTACTCTGCAGGATGGCATGTTGACAGCAGCCCAGCCCTCTCCTGGCCTGGCCTCTCTGATTGCAGCAGCACATCGCTGCGCCCATGGGTTTATCTCAGACACAACAAGCCTGAGCAGGGGTAGTGTGTGTGTGGTGTGTGTGTGTAAACATTACTGAGAAATCAGCAAATTGAATCATGGCCTCCAGAGCCGGTGCAGACTGGGCATCTGTAATGCGATTCCCGAGCCCAGATACTTCAACGTCTAATTAGGGAAAGACGAGAGCGAGGCAGGCTCCAAAATGTAATCAAGAGGCAGGCATGGGACTGCTTATTGCGTTAACCCAGGGATCTGTCTGTCACCCCCAGGCGAGCAGTGAGAAAGAACAGGGGGGAAAGGAGTGGGTGGGCGTCGCTGGGGAAAGCAGGTTCCTGTAAAAAGGTACTCTCCCACCCTAGGGGGCAGCAAATCAGTCCCCCCTCTCCCCCCCCCGTTAACCTTTCACCTGTGGCACTCTCCGCCTGGCTTCTCTGCAACCTCTGGCAACACACCCTTCCCCTGGACATTGGCACTGGAGAAGCGCTCGCGCCCAGACACTTGGCACGGACCAAGATGCCTTTGCGGGGATACGCCTGCCACCGGCGCCTGGTATACAGGCAAGGGAGGGAAGTGCACACCCCAGGCGCTCCAAATAGTGGCATAGAGTGAGGGCACCTCAGGAATAGGCACTCACATGGCACAGGGAACGGGGGAGACAATGCATGGCACACTGCAAAACATCTCTGTGGGGTGCGGATGCTCCAGCCACCTCACTCATCACCCCACAGCAGCGGTGTACCAAGAGGCACAGAGCTCATGCCCGCAGCGGGGTGGGGAAGGGACGCACAGCCAGCAAAGCAGCCGAACGGCCCGTGTCAAGGTGGCATTGTGGTACCTCTGGCCGGACAGGGTCCTCTATGCCGACCACGGTGATACAGGCCAGGTCAGACACGATCTCGTTCTCGCTGTCCCAGTTAGGCTCGGCGTCGGCAGGGAAGTCGCGGAAGGCCAGGCAGATGGTGCGCAGCCCCTGGCACGCCATCGGCTCAATCACCTTCTTCACCATCTCATCCCGGTCCTTCACCTTGAACACCCGCAGGTCCCCGTTCTTGTCCAGGATCTTTGTGCACCTGCACACGGCAGAGGTTTCAGAAGTTAACGGAGAGACGGCTTGGCATCTGCAGACGAACTAGAGAGAGAGGCACAAGCCTCCCAGCCCTCAACCACACAGCAGAAGAGACTGTGCCACAGAGATTTAGCAAGCCCCTCATCTGTCCGTTAGGCATGAACCCCAAGAGTTTTCAGGTGAGCCCACAGAAAGAAAGAGGTGGATGCTTCCTTCCCTGAACCAGCCTAGATTCTCTGGGCTGCAAAGCTGGGCTGGGAATCTCTCTGGAACACACTCCCTACCTGATGTATGGCACTACCTGGCTGCAGGCACCACCGCAGCTTCTTGCATGACATTTTGGCTGCCAGGAGAGCAAAGGCAGCAGTAGAAGTGACAAAATAATTACACAGCAAATATGTCCAGCTCCCTCCCAAGAGGTTCCGCTTGAGCCCCGATTAACATATTGTATTTTATACCAGGCAACTGAGGATGAAGCCACAGGGCTGTCTTGTATGGGGCAATGCTCTTCTATTTGCCCCATGCAGGCTCAAAGATGGCAGAGAACCTTTCACCTCACTAGGTGCTACCTGAAGCTTTCCCAGAGGCAGTGTGTCCTAGTGGATAGTGCACTGGACCAGGACTTGGGAGACTAGGGTTCTATTCCCAGTCTGCTTGGTGACCAATCCAGTCACCTCTCTCTGGGCTTCAGTTTCCCCAATCTGTAAAATGGGGATAATCATACTGATCACCTTTGTAAAGTGCTCGAGATCTACAGATGGAAAAAAGAAAAGTGCTATAGAAGAACTAGGGATTATTATTCTCTGTTCTGCAGGTATGCTCACATGAGAGATCGCTCACATATCTCCCCTCCCCACTGCAATGCCCCCCCAATGCTGGGTTCATTCTGGGAAGGACTCTCCAGACCATCAGTGGCCTGTGGAGCACAGCTGGAGAACTTGCATTCAGAAGCACCACTAGTGGCTCCAACAGGGGAATGGCTTACTCAGCAACGTAGGAGGGGAGGGTAGTTACTTGCGTAGGATGATCTCAGAGGCCCCTTTGCTGTACATGCGGAAGCTGCCGTCCGGGTTTTTCAAGACCGTGCTCATGGATTTGCGCACCGAGTTGAAGGTGTAGACCTTGTAGAGCTTCTCCTCTGGCACCTCGTTCCGAACCACCTGGTAGTCTTGCTTCAAATCCAGGACGAAGCCCAGCAGGGAGCACTCCGTCTTGTTTCCCACTTGCCGCGGGAGACCCCCTTCCTTTTCTGGTGGCTAAGAAGTTCCCAAAGTGGGCAGAAAGGGGGGAATAAAAGTCAATAAAATCTTCCCGGCCAGGCCCACTGAGATGGGGAAGGGGGAGGAGTTGGAAGTCTGATCTGCAGGGACAGAATGGATGTTGAATTTTTTAGATTGTGATCAACAGGGTCCAGAGTTAACGCACCAAGATGAATGGGAGTAGATTCCACTTCTTAGAGCCCTGGGGCTGGATCCTTGGCTAGTGCAAATCAGGATAGCGCCACTGAGGTCAACCCCAGCCCCGGAGCACTAAGAGGTGTAAACCCCGGCTGAGGACCTGGCCCATTGTTTCAGACTCTCTGCACGCGCCATCACATATCACCGCATCAGTGTAAAGGCCCGTGCAAGGTGACGGAAAGTCACAGATTCTAAGGGGAAAATGGACCATTGATCATCTAGTCCAGGGGTCGGCAATCTTTCAGAAGTGGTGTGACGAGTCTTCATTTATTCACTCTGATTTAAAGTTTTGTGTGCCAGTAATACATTTGAATGTTTTTAGGTCTCTTTCTATAAGTTTATAATATATAACTAAACTATTGTATGTAAAGTAAATAAGGTTTTTAAAATGTTTAAGAAGCTTTATTTAAAATTAAATTAAAATGCAGAGGCCCTCGGACCGGTGGCCAGTACCTAGGCAGTGTGAGTGCCACTGAAAATCAGCCTGCGTGCTGCCTTTGGCATGTGTGTCATAGGTTGCCTACCCCGATCTAGTCCGACCTCCTGCATAACAGGGGCCATTCATGCCTATTTGAACTAGATCCTCTGACCAGCTCTGTAGAGGACACAAAGGGTGCTAAGCTGCTCTTAAACCCTTGTTCACCAGGGAGTAGATCTTACACCCCATCCCCCATATCCTATCACAGCCCCGTGTTTTCCCTGTGCTGTTCCTTTGGATGGTCGCCAGCCACCTGAGCTCTGGGAGGGGCTAGAAGCAGTGCTGTCAGAGTAGCAGAGGAAGGACAACTCACCAGGATCTTTGACGTGTAGGCTGAGTTGATGGCGACGCCATTGACGATGAGGTCCAAGACCTTGGGCAGGATGGCTTCAGGGTCGGGGATCTGCCGATAATGGGTGTCGCCCACGTAGGCCTGCACCACGGTCATGCGGTTCATGGTGAGCGTGCCCGTCTTGTCCGAGCAGATGGCCGTAGCGTTGCCCATGGTCTCGCAGGCATCCAGGTGCCTCACCAGGTTGTTGTCCTTCATCATTTTCTGCAGCAGGGCACAAGACAGGCAGTGAAAGCGTTAAGAGGCAGGTAGGCTTCTCCCCACCTGTGTCTTCACAGGGCGCACAGCCATGCTTCGCACCCCACAGGCAGGCAGATTCTGGAGCCAAGGGCACTGGGAACACAGAGGAACTGGGGGGCCGTGGGCTGCTGCACTCAACGTCACCTCAACGAGGGATGCCATCTCTGTAGGGCCAGCATAACACCAGCGTGCCCTCCCAGCTCCACTCTGGGGCTCTCCGCTGGCTTGGCAGGAAGCACTATTGCCACGTGTGTCCCCAGCAGTGCTGGGCCAGGCTCCTGGCTTACTTAGAACGAGGGGAAGAGAGGGTTTGTTTGGGAGAAGAGGACGCTGGGCAGGGGAATAGCAGCGGAGCAATTGAGAGTCCCTTTCCCCACCCAGCAGCTAACACGGCCCAGCGCTGGCCTCACTGCACAACAGATGGGAAAAAACAGGCCTCTGCCTCCTCCGCTCCCGGCCTTCCTGTGGGGAGGAGAGCCACCCCCAGCTGCACTCCGCCCCACCAAAGCCCTTCTAGCCATCGAGAACATAGCGTTCCCTCTATACGCCTTGGTGAAGATGGGCACTCACTACTGTCCTCCGCACAACACTCCCCCAGCCCCAGCCCTCTGGTGAGGGGGAACAATCCCTGCCCTCATGGTGAACACAGTCACCCCACCGTTCCCCGCCCAGGCTGTGGCCTCACCTTGACTGAGTAGGCCAGGGAGATGGTAACAGCCAGAGGCAGGCCCTGGCTGGCGGAGTGCACCCCCATCTACATCCAGTACTTTGTCAAGTTCTTCATCATGGGTGTCACGGTGCTGGTGGTGGCCGTGCCTAAGGGCCTGCCTCTGGCTGTTACCATCTCCCTGGCCTACTCAGTCAAGGTGAGGCCACAGCCTGGGCGGGGAACGGTGGGGTG